TACTACTACTACTACTACTCTACTACTCTACTCTACTCTCTCTCTCTCTCTCTCTCTCTCTCTCTCTCTCTCTCTCTCTCTCTCTCTCTCTCTCTCTCTCTCTCTCTCTCTCTCTCTCTCTCTCTCTCTGTGTTCACAGGCTTCAATGAAAGCATCAAGCAATCACCAAAATGCAAATATAACAAATATTCCGTTTAGAAGATTCTCACATTAGGACAATAGCAAGCCTGTAAACAAAGTGTGCAATATACAAAATACGCATTAGAATCTTGACTTTACCTCCCAAGGTGACCAACCTCTTGGAACAGACACACAATTGGATAAATTACCACTAGGATTTATGTGTTTACAGACCCATGTTTTCGAAATCGTTTGGCACATGGAACCAGATGGCAAAACATCATTACACAAACAATAGTCAACTGGCAATAGAGAGCTTTGAAGCACATTTTACCGCTTTCCAAAAGCTTTGGACCAGTTCCATTGCCATTTGCAGTTTGAAGCAAGTTTTGAACTTCAGAAATTTGAAGGTTGCCAAGTTATGGAAAACCTCCAAAGGTTTGGCCTCAACAACATTAGCATCAATTAGATTACGGAACTTACCATGGTCAGGGTTTTGAGTCCCATTTGCTTCATTCCCACTTCTCGTGATGTCTGCACCAAATGGAACCAAAGATGAGACAAAACAAAAAACTTAGAACGAAATCTTCCAGAAGGCCACAAAAATCTACTTCTTATAGCACTCTTTAGTGCATTATACATATTTGCATAGATCTATATTCAAATGTGAATGAACACTATTGCACATAGCCGTGTGCATGTGAACTGCAAAGATAAACATGACAAAATGTAGCAACAGCACACAAAGAAACTAACAGATTCAAAGCCTATCAAGTAGCAAATTCAAAGCCTATCATGATTATCAACATAGTTTAGGGCCTAAATGCGGTAAAGAAATATCAATCTGCACATGATACCAATAAAGCAGCATCTAGGTTGCCGGCATTCAAGCTCAAAATGTGGGTGAAAGTCAGTGGCTGTTGGGCATGGTTGGCAGGCTACAGAGTCAATTTAAGAGGGGAAAACAGAGAGAAGAGAGAGTAGCATTACCAAGTGTAAAAAGTTCCCTGGCATGAAACCAATCAATAGCCTTGAACTGCAAATCCCTAACAACTAATTGTGCTTCTGCAACTGTAGAGGCAGTGCGCAAGCGCATTTTCCAGTCTTCACTCTGTACAAGATATATTATCCCATGTCAAATCCAAAACCACTTAGAAGGGACAAAAAGGATATCATAGTAGAATAGAATTAAAGCTAGGCAAGAAAACATCCATGACACATAAGAGGCTCAAAGCGCTTTTTATGCACAATGTAATAAATTGACATTGATAGACCAGAAAATAATTTAGTCACACTTACCAATTATATGATTCATGTTGTGATGTCATTAAAATGATGAAAACTTCTAAAGAGAGGTAATCCTCAATCTAATCTTTGCAACCATTAAAATAAACTGTTTAAGTAAGGCTACCTAAGAAATCGAATCCCTTTCACTCTTTATCCATGCAAAAACCTGAAGTTTGTATGTTTCTTAACCAAAACAATAGGTCCTAATCCTATTCTGGCACCATGGGCCCCATTCTAACACCATAGATCCTAGTCCATAAACTAAAGGCCCTATTCAGGAATCATAATCACTATTTTTGCGACAGAAGCCCTGTTTCGAGAACCACAGCTCCTACTTCATTCAACCACAAGTCCCTGATACCATCACCACTGTACCTATTTACCACAATCATGGTCCCTGATCACAGAACCATTGTCATTATCTCTGGGACTGTAGTCCCAGATCTCAATACCATAAACATTATTTCCAAGATAATCATCCCTACGTCCTGCAAACATAATCCCTAATCCCAAAATAGTAGGCCATATCCCTCTATTTCCAGCATTGCACTCCTGCAGTTTATATCGGTTCCATGGGCCGATCCAATTTCAAGCCACAATAACACCCATTAAAGCCTACTTTATGGGCCATCTAAGGCCCACCTGAAGTCCAACTCCAGGTTCATAGTACAAGCCCAGTAGAATCCCTATAACCTAATTGTTTGAGACATTCCAGATATTAATATTTCCTGTGATAACCTGAAACGCCCTTTCAAGAGGCGATAAAATACAGGTGAGGACAAAAGATCTTGAGCCTCGTCCCATAGATTTCTTCTTTTACTGCTTCTATCCACCCATTTCCGAAAAATGATATTATGGAACTCTAATTTTTCAAAACATTTTTCTCAAAATGGACTCTTTAAGCCTACTACTCGTAGTAAGGCCAGCACCTAGGCGACGGCTGTAAACATATCTGCTAGATGATGAAGCAAACAGTACTCAATGGAACCCTTCCCACTCCCTTATTATTTTCTCATTTTTTAGCTAATATCACTAAGATTAGTCCATGTGCACGTCTTTATTTAACAAGCAATGCTATCAGTTTTGCTGCAGACGATTCTTCATTTTGGTCAGAAAAAGGAAGTAATTCGTCTCTCCGGCAGGCTAGTCTTCGGTGTATTTAAAAACAAAAAAAAGTGTATATAACAAGCCACTTTTCCAAATTCCTAATATAATAGGTGTCTTTTGTGAGAATATGTATCGTCCAGAGCTACTTTTTTAGAATTTATATGTTTTTGGGATAGTATTATTAAAATTTAAATTTATTTGGGCTAATTTTAAAATTTCCAATAATATATTCAGTTTTTAAAAGAGAAGGGACTCACTTCACTTTACTTGAGGGCCTGAAGCTGAAAACTTCGGTCGTCTTGGCCAAAGTGAGGTGAATATGATAACATTGACCATAAGACCAATGTGAGAATATGTGAAGAACCATTTAGTGATTCAAATATGCAAGCAGAGAAGACAGCTTTCATCCTTGCCAAACGCATAGCTTGGCACTGCTTGATCCACAAACTCGACATAAGACTTGGTACTTAGACAACGGAGGGCAATTTTTAAAGTTGGACGAAAGTTGTTGGAGTGAAGAACTATGGGGGATCTTTTACGACATTTAACTTTACAGTGTAATTCCATCACAGAGGGAAGAATAGGAAAACTATGTACACTACTAGGGAGAGAAATATAATGGAAGAGGTTGAGACAGAAAAGAGAAGACAAAGACTCAAACAAGGAATTAGGGCAACTCATCGATTTTAAAAATAAAATAAGGGAATTTTGGGAATGTTAGAATTTGAATAAGTTTCGTACAATTGTATAGGAAATCAAGATTTTGGGAATCCTCAAATGTTTTAGATCTTAGGGACACGATTAGCAACTAGAATCTTGTCATTCGCTCGAACCTGGAAGTTTGAGTCCCTTGGAAGCTGGACTAGTTAATATCTAGAAGAATATTTGTAAGATAACTACTGTAGAGGTTCTCAAATATAGAGAACAGGCATTGCAGTGATCTAAGAAAGGTACACAAAGATTAGAGCTGGAAGAGAGAGAGAGGACAATGTTAGAGACAAAAGTGGCACATTTGGAGGTTAGAGAAACAGAGGCCACAGTTAGAGAGGGAGAGAGAAAAGGGACACAGTTAAAGAGAAGATAGATTTAGAGAGAGACGGTACGTTTAGATATAGAATGGTGTAGAGAAAGAAAGGGCACAATTAGAAAGAGGACAAAATTAGAAAAGGAGTACAAGAAAGAAAGGGCACTGTTAGAGACAGGAGTTAATAAAAAATTGAGAGTTTGAGAGAGAAAAGGGGTGATTAGAGAGAGTGAGAGGACATAGATGGGAAGAAAGGGTATGCAAGAGTGAGAAAGGGTATGCGTAGAGACAGTTAGAGAGAGCATGGTTAGAGAGAGAGGCGTTAAAGAAAAAGATATTAGAGGGAGAGAATAGAGATCAAGGGCACTCTTAGAGAAAGACAGAGGAATTCGAGAGAGAAAGAACATGGTTAGAGAATAGAGTGAGGAATTAAGGAGCGAAAGCACATTGTTAGAGAGAGAACAGAGTTAGAGAAAGAACACCGGGAAGCAAAGGAGACAAAAAAATGGCGAACTTCCAAAAAAAAAAGTGGACTCCCATGAGGGGGATGGAGCAGCAGGTTCTCAATTTCTGAGAACCCAGAACTTCCTAAAGCTTGCTCTTTAGCAGCACTTCCCAATTCCAATCTACAAACATGGAAGTACTACAGAAAATTGGAACTTACATCTTCTGGTTTTGGCGTTCCAGTTATCAAATGAGCCATAGGGTAATTTGGGTAATTAAAAATTCTAGGTAAAAGCATGGGCAACTAGAGGAAGACAAACGTCAAAATATTCTTTCAGATATTTTCAATCAATGGAAGGGTGTACCAAAATCTAGGATGATACCAGCTATATCAGACTTTAAACATCAAGTATGGTCAGGTAAGGACTTGATTCTGGCCTTCAAAGAAATGATATATGGAGGAGGATCAAAGGTAAACTAATAAATAGCCATGCCATACCTATTTGGTTGCACATAAAAATTCAACAATCGTGAAAATTTTAAAAAACTAGAAAAATCCTCCATAAAAAGGGGTCGTTTTAGGAAGGTCTAGAAGATTAATAACTGTACAACTTATTGGATAGAACATAGGTATCTATGGCAGTTTGGACTCAAGGGTCTGGGACAAAGGTCCGACTGAAGTCATTTGAAATCTCACTGCAAATAATGCCCCTGTTTGTATTTGATTAGGTTTATCATGGAGAAAGACAGACATCACACAAAATCCTAAACAACTCAATAACAACATGAGAAACAATATTCCAAAACCATGAAAGTCAAGCAATGTATTAAAACTATAAACAAGAAAGAAATAAGCATCAGTGGAATTGCTCACTTCATGGAAAGCAACAGGTGAGAATGAAATATGATGGAACAAAACTCGTAAGAGATACTCCAAGAACAATCTTGAATTAAATGAATAAAATTAAGCTAATCTCCTAGTAACACAGTATAACATACCTATAGAATGAATATGCTCTCCAACCAAACAACTAAAGTTAAAGATCTTAGTTATGGAATTTCCATGAGAAATTGTTGGAAATTTTATAGTTAAGCAGTCACAAATAGCTTATAATCATTGTATTTTAAAGCAATAACTCCTATTTGATTGCTGATAAAGATGAAGAAAATGTTCAAGAGAGAAACAAATACTCACATTCGTGGCCCACCAGGGCAACAAAATTTCTGGTTTTATTTGCAATGCAAATTCTAGAGCAGCATTCATGGTCCCCCGAATATTCATGCTTTTAACATCCTTCGAGACTCTATCATGCCATTGTTTCCACCAACCTAGATCTTTCTCAAATGCAACTGATGGTGGAATCCTATCCTCTGAAAAGTTAAATGGATTGAAAGAACAAACAAAGATCTCTTATGAAAGGGGCATTACCATATTAAGAAGAAAATTGGAAGCCCCCAAATATCCCGGACAAAAACATTTGACATTTGTTACTACATTGCAGAGTATGTGTGTATGCGTGTGTGTGTGTGTGTTTTGTAAATACATGAACACTCATATACATGTCAAGAGAACAAGACAAGAGTTGCACTATTGTATGGTAATCCTCTCTGGAGATTCTCTCGTATCTCATCGTGTAACCGAGCAGTGTACATAGCAAAACCCAAGTGTCGAAACGAAGTTAGCATATACAGTGAACTTAGCATAAGTACCTACCAAAGAAACGGTTTGCTAAGTAGTCTTTTCAAGTACGTATCAAAGCTTACATCAGTTGACATGCTTTATAAAGATAATGTTAATGACATATGTATTATATCTAATACAATATTTCCAGGAAAAAATAATATCAATGAAGATGAATGCATGATAAGAACCATTAGTTGGCCCTGCAATATTATACTTAATTGAAGATAACTGCATGCACTAAATTCATGTCATTGTTGCCTCAATTTGGGCAGGCCACCTTTAGGGTTCACGACTGTCTGGGCCCGCTGGTGCCCCTTTGTTAGCTTGGTGGTCATTCGTTAACTTTTCAATTGCAGAACAAATTGAATTGGCTACTGTCAATAACTAAGTTTCTCAAGCTTCAATCAGCTTGCGCCCCTTCGTTAGCTTTGTGGGTATTCTGTTATAAATTCTTTTTACTTTGAAACCTACAATGGACTCTATGCCTGTGGGACTCACTAAGTTACTCCTGAGGTAGTTTGTCGTTCTGAACTTTGTCTGCTTGGATTACTTCTTTCTTGATATGGATGCATTCTTATAGCAAAATTGTTTCATGCGGGCTGGACTGCATTTCTACAATATGCAGTCTATAAAGCATCCATCATAAAGATGGATACAAATAGGTGGTCCATCTAAAAATAAGTGTAACAAACAGTCCAAATGTTTTCTTGATGTAATTATTATTTCTAGTTTTCAATTTATTTTATTTTTCATATTCATGATCTGCATGTTAAAGATTATATATTCTCCAAAATTTAAGATCAAATTATATTTAAAAAATATATTTATTGCCAAGCCCGCATTTCTACAATATGCAGGCTGGCCGCATAGAAACCGCATCCATTCTTATATATCATATAAATAAATGAATATGGACTTTCTTCGACCCACAAAGTTGTTGCACTTGAGGTGTTCGGGTGGACATTCAGACAAGCTCTAAGAAATCTTTTTTTATAATAATATTATAGAAATTTGAAAGAAAAACCCCAGAGACTAGTATAAATAGACGTTCTTTCCAGGTGTTTGGGTGGACATTCAGACAAGCTCTAATAACTGTTTTTTTATAATAAATATTATAAAAATTTGAAAGAAAAACCCTAGAGACTAGTATAAATAGAGGTTCTTTCCAGGAAAATATTATTCAACTCAAACATTAAAAACCTTAAACACGCATGGAGTTCTCATCATTTCCAACATTTCATCATTTCCCCACTAAAACAAAATAAAAGCTTTCTAATTAGGAGAAAAAATGCAAACTTCCTCTTTTACATGCCCCTAATCACAGAAACTTCAAAAACCCTTAAAGAACCCTAAGTTGTCTTATTCCATACAGATCAGTTTCCGTATGAAGCAATGTATATAGATAAAAGATCAAAATGCATATGTTTTCATACTAACCCAAAGGCATAAGTAAAAGTTTTAACCTAAACTTACGATTTCACAGAAGAAACCCTTATAAGTACCATCTAATTTTCTTGAAACAACAAAGAAACAAAATTTAATTCGACAAGTGCCAATTATATAATTAGGAAAACAGTAAAATAACAGGTTATAGGAGGGTGGAAAAACAAAAACCTACCCATGCTGAAAAGCATTTCCTGAACAGAGAGAAGGCCATGGTCTCCCCCCCTTCTGCTCTTTCTCTCTCTAGTCGAAGACTTCCACTTCCTCATCATGTATTTCACATCTCCAAGGTTCAAAACCTCGGATTCCCCATCCTCATAAACCACCTCACAATCCAGGTTTTCACGGACTGAAACAACCTCTGCACCATACCACTTTCGATCTCCATCCCAGTAGACGAGAATAGAGTCACCTGGCGCCACCTTGTTGGGTAGAGAAGAGGAAGAAGGAGCCATTAGAGCCCGGTTCCCTCTCTATTGCTAGTGCATGAAGGTAAGAGACGAAAAGAGAGCGGATTTAGTAGACCAAAGACGAAATTTTACTCGGAGAGAAGAAAAACTCTGGGAACCTGGGCTCTATACCGAGAGAGATGGGTGTTCGTGTAAGCAGAGATTAGAGTTCAAGAGAGAGAAAATGGAAACCAGAGAAAACTTAGAAATTTGGCCCCATGCACAGCGGAGTTTAGAGAGAGAAAGAGAATGACAAAATATGGGTTTTCCAGTAATAATAGGTTTATCTTCTGTAGGCCCTTGCAGAACTAGAGAGAGAAACGAACTGGAGGGAGACGGCGGAGGAGAGAGAAGGACAGGGGAGGAGGAGAGAGAAAAAGGAATGTAGAGAGAGAGAGAAAGAGCGGGAAGGCCTGGAGGAGAGAGAAAGCTTTGATCGTTAATGTGGGTCAGTGTACTTTTCAGTGACAGTTGAACGGGAAGATGAGAAAGACTACGTCTTTTGAGAGAGAGAAAGTTTAGAGAGAGAAGGAAACTGGTTGTAGAGAGAGAGAGCTTTTAGAGGGAGAAAGAGGGCAGGAGATAGATATTACCGCGTGTTTCCCAACACCCTGTCCTCGTACCACGTGCACCGCTTTTGAAACTTTTTTTAAGCTGGTTTCATTTGACGCCGCAGGAGTAAAGTGTTTACTTATTCCTTCACTGAGATAACAGCTCGATATCTTTGTTAAGATCACAGATCTTATGGTCCAATGTTGATTAATAAGATGGTTATTTGAAATATTATAAGTCTTTTAACACTTAGATCTTACCATTCAAAAATTAAGAGATCAATTTGATATTATTTTAAATTAGTTGTGAAAAAGCTGGATCGTTTGAACCAATTGATCGTCTAGGAGATTTGTCCAGATCGGTAAATGGGCAATCCAGATAAGTGAATCGGCCGGTTTCGGTTGATCCCATCTTGAAAAAATAAAAAAAGAAGTTTGCTATTTTTGTCTGAAAATCTAAATTTTGAGGTTCAAAAAAAAATATTATTAAATTATAAATATTTACTATTTTATCAAAAATATGTAACCTTTGAGAACATGAAGAGATGAAAAGACTTGGAAAGATGAAGTTAAGAGAGCGTCGAAACCTAATGACTTGCAAATTTGATGGAACAATGGATTTCCCACCGTCTCTGGAAAAATTTAAATTGTTTTCATCAAGTTACAGGTAAAACTTCAACAATTCTAGCATCTCGCCCAAAAAAGTTTATGTAAAATTTCAGCAAATTATTAGGGATTTTCTTTGATTTATTGAATGAATAGAATCACCAGGTTCGAATGCTCATTCTACTTGGTGAAATTTTAAACAAGTTTTAGTAATTTAATTTTAATTTTTTAGTAATTTAATTTTAAGTTTCTAAAAAGTGAGAAGAATTTTGGAGACACATGAAGAAATTGGGCATCTAGTGATTTCCAAAGAGATACACACAAGGGGTGGGAAGAATTTGAATGAGGAACGAAGAAATTGGCTTAAAAAAGGGCGTATTTTGTATAGAGCCCAAGCCCTAAACAATCAAAGTAGCGCACCTTCAAACAGTTTCAAGCTTCAAACGGTGTCAAGAAATTTGGTTTTAGTACTGGAAATCTTTGTGATAGCCTTAAATATATTTTCATGTCTAATTATAAATTTTCGAGCTTAAAAAATAGTATAGATCGAGCAAACATGTGAAAACTTGAAAATTGACAGTCAAAAGATGTGTCACAAGTTGCACTATTTCCAAAACTCGAAATTTATTTATTTTCTCATATCCATGCATCTTGATATCAAGATGATTAATTTGAGGATACTTGGACATTAAAACAACTTTTTCTAATACAAAATTTGAGGTGGGCTCTAATTTGATTGTTTAGAGCCTCGGCTCTATATAAATTTTTTTCCCATAAAAAATAGCATGATATGATGGAAAGAAAAACAATGCGAAAGGAGGCTCCAATTTTTCTCAAAGAAATAGAGGGTGATACAGTATTTTGCCTTTTCAGAAAAGCCCACACGGAGGAGTGGGAGCTAAAGTGAGTTTCAATTTCTTATAATGTATATAGCTTTTTTTTGTTTTTTTAATCCTAGCTCTTGTATGCAAAGAATCTCAGGTTTATCAGAAGAGACTCATGTCCATATAAATAAAAAAAATAAAAATAAATCACATACACCTAAACTATAAAGAAGATTATCATGTCCATTAATTGATATGAATGTACATATTTGTCTTTATTGACAAATTACATATAAAAAAAATAAAAATAAATCATATACATCTAAATTATACTCAAATTAACCATAACATACAAGTTATTGTATCGACCTTCCCATATATACATATATAGCGATTACAATATATATCTTTCATATTAACCTAATACACAATATATACTTTCTTTTCACGTAGTCATTCCTATTAAGGTGTCACTATATAATAGAAAAAAAAGCACAATATAGGAGGATAGAGATTACATACTTTTAAAAATTTGACATATCGTTTGCATTGATTGTTCCCTTTTGCACATCTAGGTGCTGCCTATAGAGGTTTTTATAGCGCCTCCTTAGGATCTCCCTCCTTTAATTACTAGAATTATGATGATTTTGGGTGTGGTTTCTATTGGGTTGCGACCTTAAACAATCCAATTGACCTTGAACAATCCAATTATGATGTAGCTCCAAATTTTATCATAACATGTAATTTTGGAATAAAAAATTATTAAAATTATCTCCAAGTCTATTTTTATATCTAATTATAAAATTTTAAATTTAAAAAATGGTTAAAATCAAATAGATCTATAAATATAAAAAAATATTAAAAATGGACGGCCAATATAATGTATTACGAGATGCACTATTTATGAGATGCCATTTTTTTTTTTGTTTTTGTCATATTTATATATCTCGAGGTCAAGATGATCAATTAGAGGGTTTTTCAACATTAAAATAACTTTTTTCGATGGATTTTTTAGGGGCATCCGTAATTCTACATTTTAAAATTACAACTTTATATAAACTTTTTCTAGTTCACAAAGGAACCCAATGAATCTTCTCTCCTATTTTATTGTGAAATTAAATAAAAAAAACGAAAAGAGAAGCCAGTGAATCGAAACTCCTCGAAGAGGCCAAAGAAACGGTTGTTTTGTGCAGGAGAAAACGAGCCCATCAAACATGGCACAGTATGTCAGACAAAGCATGTTTTTCAATCTGATTGTTACCGCACTTGCTCGACCACCCAACATAAACTCCTTTCCATATCATATTTTATTCGGGTGTGTAATGCTATGTGATCAGTGGGTTTACAAATTCGGCGCGTTTGACGCGGAATCAAAATATCCGGAAATAGTTATAACTCGCTATAAGCTATTCCGTATCAGATTTTATTCGGGTGTGTAATGCTATGTGATCAATGGGTTTACAAATTCGGCGCGTTTGACGCGGGATCGAAATGTCCGGATTTTCAATTGTTATAACTCGCTTAGTAGGTTTACAAATTCGGCGTCAAACCGGATTTTCAATTGTCAAACCGGATTTTCAATTGTTATAACTCGCTCAGTGGGTTTACAAATTCGGCGCGTTTGACGCGGAATCAAAATGTCCGGATTTTCAATAGTTATAACTCGCTATAAGCTTATTCCGTATCAGATTTATTCGGGTGTGTAATGCTATGTGATCAGTGGGTTTACAAATTCGGCACGTTCGTTTATTCGGGTGTGTAATGCTATGTGATCAGTGGGTTTACAAATTCGGCATTTTTGACGCCGAATCGAAATGTCCGGATTTTATTCGGGTGTGCAATGCTATGTGATCACTGGGTTTACAAATTCGGCAAGTTTGACGCGGAATCGAAATGTCCGGATTTTCAATAGTTATAAACTCGCTATACGCTTTAAGGTCCGTACCAAATAAAAGAACCGAAATGTCCGGATTTTCAATAGTTATATAAACTCGCTATACGCTTTAAGGTCCGTACCAGATTTTATTTGGGTTATGCGATCAGTGGGTTTATAAATTCAGCGCGTTTGACGCGGAATCGAAATGTCCGTAATATCAATAGTTCTAACTTGCGATAAGCTAACAAACACATGGCAGGCCTAACCCACGCATGAGAAGACGCCTTGACGTGTGACACGTCGCTCCCGTATCTCTCTAATCTCGTTTGTAGGGTATTGTGTTCTTATTAAAAGAGCATTTCAGTGCTCCCGTCTTTCGATGTGGGACAAAGTTAGAGTTACATAACTAATAACATGTATATATTTATTACAGCATTGTAAACATAATGTGACAAATAGGTAGAAAATGTTAGCTCTACGGATTTTTTGGCTTGCACACCCTTGATTCCTCTCCAGCGCAATTCCCCTTTTGGGGCTTTATTTTTATTTTTAAAAAACGTAAAAGAAAAAAAATCATGTTGTGAAAAAAATAAAAGGAAAAAAATACCATTTGGGGCTTTATTTTTATTTTTTAAAATCGTAAAAGAAAAAAATTTATGTTGTAAAAAAAATAAAAAAATAAAAAAATAGAAGAAAAAAAATCTGTTGTAAAAAAAATAAAAGGAAAAAAGAAGAAGAAGGTAATACAACAAGCATTTTTGGTAAAAAAAAATACATTTTTTTATTTTTCTAGTAAAAAAAAAGAAGAAGTAATATAACGTATTTCTTGTCAAAAATAAAATAAAAGATAATACAAAATAAAAAATGTAGTACAACATCTTCATAATTTTTTTGTCAAAAAATAAAATAAAAAGTAATACAACAAGTATCATATTTTTCTTAGCAAAAAATAAAAAGATAATTCAACAAATATTTTTTGTCAAAAAAAATAAAAGATATTTATAAATACAACAAGTATTTCTTAATACAGCATAGGAATAAATGATGTAATAGTATAGTTAGTTAGGTTGTAATAATACACCCTAGGGCACCGATCCGTTTTTTAAACCACTGGTTTATTCTATTTGAAATCTCTCTCTTTCTACTAACAATCTTTTTTACTAAATTTATTCTAGAAATTTAAAATTTTAAAATTTTGAAAAATTAAAGTATTATTTCGAAAATTGGTACACATTATAATAATTTCTAGATTGATAACCAACTCTTTTATTTTATTTATTAATTTTTGCATTATAAGTCATGTAATGTACTATTTTTCTTACTATTGTCAATAATACATTTTAAATTTGATGATATTATAAAATATTTTGGATTTGTTATTATTTGTATTATAAAATTTAAACCAACAATTTTAATTTCAGTATATAATATTATAGTTACTTAGGTTGTAATAATTTTGGATTATAGTTAGTTAACTTATAATAATTGGGGTTTTTTTAGCGGATTAGGGTTTTCCGCTTATTCAAGATTTTCGTGTCTATTTTTTTATCAATTTAGTCTACTCTTTATTGTAGTCCACGTATGATTATATATTTTGTCCATGATAATTCTATGATTTTTTTTTTGTGTGATGTAAATTTAATGGTTAATATAAGTTTATACAGGGAAATAACATCTCAATATTTACAAATTGATGAAAAAAAGGAAAATTAACAATGTAGTACCCTCATTTCTTATTAGATTCATAAAAGACAACATTTATAACGAATTTTAATAATTTTTTTAGATTTTTTTTAAAGCTTAATTCAATCGAGTCGACCAATTCGCGATCCAAATCGCCGATTCACCGATCCATATAGGTTTTTAGAATGCTCGATCTGGGTCACATATCATTTTTTAAACCACTGGCTATGATACTTGGTGACGTATTGTTTGATACACTCCGTACCCATAGTATAGTAGCATGTTGTTGACACGCCTCCCTGCGCGAGCAAGAGTTTTTTGAGATCGGTGATTATTGGGGGAAATTACAAAAAATTCAAAAAAAATTATAAGAATACCAAAAAATCAGAAATTTTTTTATCATGTCTTTTTACTATCATTTTAGCAAAGATTGTAAAGTGTTTTAGCCATAAATAATTATTTTTACATTTTTGCATTCTTTTTTAATTATTTAAAAAAGATAAAAATTTATATAGAGCCAAGGCTGTACAATCAAATTAGAGTGCACCTCAAAATTTTACTAAAAGTAGTTGTTTTGATGCCCAATTATCTTCAAATTGATCATCTTGACTTCAAGATGCATGGCATGCAAAAAAAATAAATTTCAAATTTTGAAAATAGAGCATATTGTAATGCATTTTTAGACCATCAATTTTCAAGATTTTTCAAGTTTTCATAAATACACTCGATCTACACGATTTTTGAAGCTTTGAATTTTATAATTAAATATGAAAGTATATTTTAAAGCTCTCACAAAGATAGCTTTGAATTTTATAACTAGATATGAAAATATATTTTAAAACTATCACAAATATTCTTAATGTTGAAATCACTTTTCTGGGCACTATTTGAAGGTGTGCTCTACCTTGATTGTTTAGAGCCTTAGCTCTATACAAATCGCCCCCTTAAAAAAATACCCCCTTTTTATTTTTTCTAAAGAAAATATCTCCATACCTTTTATTTTTAGACCATTTCACAATTGATCCAAAGTTTTAAAAGATATATTGGAACATAAAAATTGTATATATTTTTTTTTTAACCCCTAGGTTAATTTAAACCTGCTTTTTTACGCCAAACAAATCTAAAAAAACATACATTTTCTAAAAACCATCATTCCAAACTTCTAGAGAGAAAGGCTTCATAGTAGTAAAAAGCTATCGGGAAGAGAAATGTGTTTGGAAAAACACAGGAGGAGATAGAGTGAGAATGAGAGAAGCAAGAAGAGAGAGAGAAGTTTGAGATATATAAGTGAAGAGAGAAAAAGGATTTGGTTTAAAAAGAGCACATCTTTCTAATATTTGTTTAAGTTAAAAAATAGATTTAAAATGACCAGGGGATTAGAAGATATTTTTTGAAACATTGGATTTAAGAAATAAAACCTAAAAATAGATGATATAGAGATATTTTTCTTTTTTAAAAAAAAAATCTACTTTTTTTCTAATTTTTTAATCCCATTTTAATATTTTTTACTTAATCATACTTTAAATATACATTTCTTATTTTTTATAATTTTTTTAACCTTTTTTTTTTTTGCTGCTACAGTATTCTGCCCTACTAAGACAGAAATACTTGGAGTCGGGCCGAGTACTCATATCGGGCATAGGATGAGAACTCAGCCCAAGTAGTGGTTTGAACACAGGTTAATACCTCTTTCCCTCCACCAAACCTGTGATACTCATAGTAGCATGTTTCCCTCTCTCTGTCAGCGCCCTCTGTTCCACCGAGTACCGACAGATCACAGAATTTACTCATTTCACAATTTTACTTTCACAATTTTACTAAGTGATTCATTTCATCATGTCCTTAGAAACTAGAATTTCCAAATACAAACTACCAAAGCTGTTTACATCTCCGAGGGCCATAAAAATGTCATTGGAACGATCCATCACTTGAGGCTACACAACAAGGTAGGCTCGGTGACATGACATATAAATGTTATAAGCTTGATAACTTGAACAGTGTAAACAGATTTCCAAAACTTGAATAGAAAAAGCTTAGACATGAAATCAGTCAAAATGGTGAAATCAAATGAACACAAAATACAAGATGGAAACCAGTAGAAGAATGAAACACGCCCAAGCCTCTACAATACTCCTTCAAATCTGTGCTTCTCACTCCTGTCTTTCCAACTCTCCCATTCTCTCTATGATTGCCTAAAAAAAGTAGGAAATGGAAATTCCCTGAGCACTGCAACTAAAACACCCAATTGCTGATAAACTATTAATGTAAAAATGACAAAACACATGAATATTTATTAAGCATACCCTCTTGCTTGTTTCTTGCAGCTCCCCTGCAAGTATAAATTCATCCAGGATCAAGTATACCTGAAAATTTAATGCTGTTTATTGCACATGCAACAGTCTCCAAAGTCTAGCATTTGACCATAAGAACATCTGATCCCTGTTTAAAATTCTAAAATTTCTACAAATGGAGTTGCAGAACACATTATTATACACTGATGCACACTGTTTATTGCACATGCAACAGTCTCCAAAGTCTAGCATTTGACCATAACAACATCTGATCCCTGTTTAAAATTCTAAAATTTCTACAAATGGAGTACAGAACACATTATTATACACTGATGCACATGCTCAAACTTGTAAGATCAAGAAAAAGAAGCTAAAAGATCAGCCATATTTATGCAGGATATATGTGCGCATGTTATAATACTTGCTCTACCTGTACTTCTTACTCACTGGAACACATGGCGGTCCACACACACTCATGCACAGAACGAAATGGAGGCCCATAGACACACACTCACAGGGGGGGGAGAGAAAGAGACACTTGTATCTACTTGCTCACGAATGACCCTGCCTCCTATGGAGTCTATCTCAGCCATCAGATCATAAACATTTTCATGCAATTCCTATTGTCATGTTCTTTCCAACACACTGAAGCACATCAAGGTTTCAATTAAAGAGATCCGTTGTAGTGATTCTTTATCATCCACTACAATCCCCCGTCTACCGATCTGCCTAAGCTGCTCCACTATCAGAAAGAAGCCCCTTAAGGGAAAAACCACATACCCCACACAAACTCATCAAGAAAAGGAAGGCGAATTTATGATGTAATAAAAACGATTGCATACTTGCAGTGTGCATGCTATATGATGCAAATCAATTCAACACATCATCATAAGAAGCACAGTCAATGACTACTCGAGCGCAATGCCTGTTTCATATGCAACAGCAAGAAGCTAGAGAAGAATAAATACGGAAGGCCGAAAGTCCTTACTGACCTTATGGAAATTAAATACCAAATCCAGCTCACACACATTGCTGAAGAAGTGATCCAAGATCTCCACAAATAAATGTATGCACTCCAGGTATGCTAGCTCATTATCAGTGATATCAACACACATGGAGAAAAACAATCCCGCATACCGCCTGTAAATAACCTTGTGAGTGCGAAACTGCAAAAATATAACATGACCACCTTCAGCGGATTATGCAACACCATATAGTGAAGGGAGTAATATTCATAAACACATGCAGTTAGCATTCAACAGGATAAAACTCATAGTGGAGTAAGCTGTCATCAAAGGAACCCCTGAATAGTGATTTTCTGTGATAATGTTCTTCTCTGATGACATTGAACCCTTCAAACTTTGTAGCGAAAATGATGGATAATATGTAGCCACTTTCCATTTGATATCAACATACATATTGGGGTGAGGTGCAAATGAGCGAGGCTCGCCACAAAGGCCCTGCGTGATGTGGGGCGGGTTTGGGCCCCTTTATAGGGCCCATTAGGCCATTATTTAAGGCCTGTTAATTAGTGGAAGGGCCCAGGAGTTTGGTGTTAAAGGCCCAATGGGCCCTTGTTATATGATTTTACATTTTGATAGGGTGCAGATGGGCCGGGCCACAACCCAAGCAATCCATGAGAACAAACTATAGAACACATAGTTAACTCATGTCCGTAAGAAGAAAAACACAGAACACCAGAAAAATAGCATGAGATGTACTTCATCTCAAAACAAACCAACAAGTTTCCTTTTAATGCATTTTTAAATAGGGAACTATTCCAATCCATTAAGAGCAACACAGTAACACAGTCTCTGTAATGCAGTAAAAGGTTCCATGAAACTTATCCCCAACTTTGCTTAGGTATCCACCATGGAGTCCTTGTCGCTTGGGAACTCAAGGAGCGAAGTACATAAAAAAACCAGAATAGCAGACAATAACTCAAGAATCTCCAAAAAGTACTATGGTCAATGGCGTCCACGATTGATTCCTGGTATACATGGATGGGGCCAAACACAGAACAGCATGGTGACTTTAATCAATTTATTTCAAGGAGTACATATTGGTGAACCAAGATCGATGCTGTAGAATTTCATCTTTATAACTTGATGTGCTGCCTCCTATGTGCTAAATTGATTAGGTGTGAACTTCAATTTTTTTGAGCTGGCCATTAAAATTACAAATAATGGAATTTTGAATTACTGGCTGTAATACTAAAATCTTTACCACAGTTCTTATTTTAGGTTTTCTATCTTTTATTCAAAGTTTAAAAAAAAAGATTTAAAAGACTCAATAAGTTACACATAAACTTGGTTTTTCCTACAGTTGAGTTATGGGTCAAGTCTGAGTTTCCAAACTAAGGTCCTAATTATAGCATACTCATAATGATTCAAATGTAGCATTTATAACCCCCTTCCATTGCATTTCAATAGAAAATATATTGATAACAACAAAAAACAAGATCAACAAAACATACTCACAATTACTCCATAGGAATCAAAATAAATCCTTCTTTTATAGTCTTATTCAGAAATTTGAGCTGCAAATGTTTCTGCATCAAAGGCGTTTAATAGATTCAAATTTCAACTCCCTTTGTTTTCATATGAAGTATGGATTTTCCTATTCCCAGCACTCTTAGCTTAATGAAAAAGACCACAGCAATGTGAGCCGGACAGGCCTACCATTATTTTTTGTATATGGCTCTCCTACGCGGGTGGCCTTTAACTCATGCCTCATGAGCTTTTTGTAATCTTTTGGGGAGCGAGTTCTTTTCACCATGTCACTATAATATAATGAAACCATACTTCAAGCAAACCATGTTTGTCACATTTGTATGATGCCAAAATTTGCACACACCCACTCTTTATCCCAATGATCAATCCCCAAGAAATTAAAATTTAATTTGCACCATAGATATGGTTAAAATGAGCCCCCCTCCAAAAAAAATCTAGACCATCCATTTGGTGAAATTTCAAGATTTAGACCTTTACGAACTCAAAATTATTTTTTTCCTTTTTAAGATTATTCATCTAATGATAATAAAGCCATGTAGAAAATTTGAAAGGGGAAAAAATCCTTCTAAGGACTAGATATAAGCATCTCACTAAAATGGATGGCCTATGGTAATTAGGCTTAAAGAAACACTTTCTAGGGTGTGTTTTCAAATGTTGTTTTTGTTATGATTGTTCCTTAGAATGAAAAGAGTGTGTATTTAAAAATTAGGGTCAAGCAGATGGCCCTAACATTGTCTTTGAGTTCTTTTCTCAATTAGGATCTGTTTTGTCTCATCCCATAAAGTACATTGAACTAACTGATTGGAAAACCATATGCTCTAGACTCCATAAAGTCTCCAAAAATAACCAATGAGGTTAGAACTCTTACTTTTCTCTGTTTTTCTTTTTCAATTATGATGTAGTCATAATTAATGCCATTCCATCCAAATCAGCTAATTTTTTCAGGAAAGTGAACTTGTGATCTAACTCCATCAACCCATAACTTGCCCTAATTGCTGGAGTTTCTTAAACAAAATAACCATAACCAGGTACAAGTAAATTCTCTTAGAATCCAGAAAACCACAAAAGTCTAATAATAAAAATAATTCAATGAGGTAGAAAACAAAAAGGCAAATGCATGAAACACATGATTAACCTCCATTCACAAATAAGATAAATGGGGGTAAAAACTGAAAGAGCTCCTGACCTCAACAAAGTTTGTGAATTTGGGGTCCCTGTTTACGACCAATCGGTGAACCTGCAGAAACCCAAACCTTGAATGGTATTTAAAAAGCAACTGAAATCTGATGAAATTTCATAGAAGAAAGAAAGGAGAATATTGGGATTTATACCTCATATTCAACCTTGTGCTTCTCAGACTCCTCCAGTGGAATATAGTATTTTGCAAGACGGGTCTTCCCTTGCCTGTTCTGAAGCAATATAAACCGGATCTGCAAAAACCAAATTCATTTTGATCTTTATGTAAGTCAATAACAGAAATTTACCAGTAAGTCAAAATGGAGGATGATTCAACCTTAAAACCAAGAGATTAACTGAAAATAAAGACATAATTCAAACACTGAAGAAAGGGTTCAGTGCATTGCTTACCATGGTGGATTATAACAAGGACCAGCACAACTCTTGCTGCTTATTCGGAAAAAGGACAGTAATAGAATAAGGGCACCAAAAATGCCTGCTCCTTAGACTAAAAGGCCAAGGATGAAGCTGGAAATGTCAAGGCAGAAGAAAGCGAAAATTAACACCAAGCATGCTATGATGCATACGACTAGAAAACCATGTGGTTACAAGTGTTTTCCACTGTCTAATCAAAGAGTGGATGATGATGTAGAGAGGAAGGGACTTACCAAATGAGTCATGGCATCTTACTATGGGGTCATTTCTCCCTTCATCACCGTCCATTGTTGATTGGACGGTCATGATCTCTATGATCATAGAGTTTCTATGGTGCAAAAGATCAGTGCACTTACAAACATGCACTAAAGCTTTGTTACAAGGACATATATACAATAAGACTATTTACTCTTGCGTGGTGGGGGATGAATCAAGGCACATAATACAGATTAAATTTTCTCAAATGTGGTGAACCATTCTAAATGTAGAATTTTACATCCAACGGCTAAGAGTGATTGTGAACTCCTTGCACCAAAAATAAAATAGTCTTACAATATGTAATACCTTATAACAATTATTTCAAAGGAAATCTAGCTGGCACCTTCAAAGTTTTATTAGAGTGTCTTCCCTTACACTTGCATCATAGAAATTGGAAAGATCAGAAGTCATTGGAGTCACTGGAAAGAAAGTCATTGTTTCTCGTAATTCATTGCAGTTGTTAGGAGAGTGGAATGAAGCATAAACAAAATAGTGCTCATATTAGACTATGTTACTATAGCAGCATATTGTCCACTTACTCCCCTAGGTCAGAGAGGTACTATAAAGGACTTTTTTTTTTTTTTTAGTTCAGAATTTTCGGATTTATTAAATAAACATTGTATGATTTTTTTTATTGGAGTTTTTAAGCACTTAGATTGACCACCTAAAGATTGGATGGTCGTTGATCAATATTTTGGTGTAAATTTTTGGAGACAATAACAGAGTGAAGTTGAAAAAACCAAAAAAAAAAAAGAGCTTGCTTCCCAGTTCAAGAGTTTAAAGTTGAGATCCCAGGGAGCAAAGATTATTTCGGCCGATTCAAATGTATAGGGGAATTCTCAACATTCATTCAAGGACAAATTCAAAGATTAATGTCTTTTTTCGAAAGTGTTGATTGTGAACTCTATCTCTCTCTCTATTCAACATATGTACATTTTATTTGGTTGTTTCTTTGTCTAAGTCACACAATTCGCATGGGTAATTCATCATTGGCATTTGCATACTTGAAGTCATTGTAAGATATTTTCTTTAAACTTAACTGTACTGAGAACATTGGTTTCTCTTGAACCACGGTAAAAATATCATTTTCTCCAACCGTGATGAAAATGAAAATTTCAACAGACACACGAGGACACTGTAAAAGGCAGATATTGAGTAGAAGAAATGGTCTTACTTTGTAAAAGTAACGTCTTAGTAGGAAACAGAGCTTAGTGTTCAAACCTGAAAAAAAGTACAAACTTATGAAAGAAGCCAAAAATAAATAAATCAAATGTCACCAAACTGTATAGACTCTTTTCCACAAAATAGACCCGGAGGCATGTGTGATGCATGGCGGTCTTTGAGAAATTAAATGTTAACCGGCTTGGAAAATCCAAGATGTGTTCAGATGGTGACTATATACTCTCAAGGTATATCTAAGCCACTTAGATACTGTGAACTTTTCATGAGTTGTACGCTCAAGATGAGTCATCGGAAAAAACAATCTGAATAATAATTTTCTATCAAATACCGACCAGATTGTGACAATATCCTCTCAAGGTATATCTAAGCCACTTAGGCACTGTGAACTTTTCATGTGTTGTATGCTCAAGATGAGTCATTGGAAAAAACAATCAGAATACTAATTTTCTATTCAAATACCGATCTGACTAGGGTTTAGTTTCAATTATGTATACTACATTATTAAGAAACAGTAAAAGGGTGGACAAGTGTCAAAATAATAAAACGGGACTCTATCTTCTGAGAGAATGTAAGAAAATTGAGAAATTTAAGGCAAATTGTACAAGGCATATCTAAATTTTTCAAATGTTCATTTTGGGTCCTTATTTTCCATATATTTCCTTAAACTTAGTTTCTTTCTTCTAAGTCGCTGCCCTCTTTACCTCTACCCTCTTTTTTTGGCTCTATCTCCCCTCCAATAGTGATGTAATCTGAGCACCCAACTTGTGGGATGCCATTAAGTTAACGTTTATCAAAAAAAATTTGTGGGATGCCATCTTTCGTTTTCTCATAATGTAAATTTACTATAAATAAAAAAGTCAACCTTTTTCTAAAAAAAAAAAATTAAAATTAGAAGTCTCTCTCTTTAGTTCTCTCAGCACACACCAAAATTAGGCTAAATAATATGGCAGTTAATATCAAAATCTAGAAGGATCTCTCCCTCACTATCCACACACCAATTTTAGGAAGTGCAAGTTTTAGCAGGCCTCTCTCTTTAGTTCTCTCAGCACACCAAAATTAGGCTAAATGATAGGGAAGTTGAGATCAAAATCTAGAAGGATCTCTCCCTCACCATCCACACACCAATTTTAGGAAGTGCAAGTTTTAGCAAGCCAACATAAATAAGAAAAGATCCCCAAAATAAATCCATGAAAAATTATAGGAACCAAATCTATAGGAAGGAGGAGAGAGAGAGAGAGAGAGAGAGTTTAAGTAGGAAGATATACCTACATGTGACATTTCCGTTGTTTTTCCAGGCTCCAAACATATGAAATTACAATACATTGTATTGGCCGTGATTACAAATAGTACATATTTGATGTGTTTTCTCAAAAAATAAATAGTACATACGTGTGTGTGTGCGTGTATACATATATAATGGATTATGTTAGCATACTCATACATATGAATATTTTTCTTAAATTACTCAATACTTTAAAACACTTGATATCCTTATTCCACCATGTAGCAATTTTTTTGCCTAGGGGTATTTTTAGGTAATTAACCAGGGGTAAAGTAGAAATTCTTGATAGAAAAGAAACGCTTATTAACTATAGTGGAGGATGACATCATCCACATGAAGTGTGACTTCATCCACATAGAGCAATGATTGCTTCTTATAGAAATACCTATCCTACCCCCTAATGACAAAAATGCCCTTACTCAAAAAATTTTGTATTACAAAATGAAAGGCAATGAGTATCTAAAATTGTTGAATACATGAAGGAAATACTCATATGTGTGTGTATATATAGCGAAAGAATTCCATGAGACCCCAACAATATATAAATTATATGTGACCCCACTTCTCAGCCGTTTGATCTTAATCGATGGCTAGGATTGCTCATGTCGTAATGTCACGCTAAAATACTGTTTGATTTTTAATTTTTTCTATGAAAACCTTTTTGGCTAAAATTTGGGGCGTCCCATCTCCTTCCTGGGGCATGCCTAGCAAAAACACAAAAAATAAATTCTTGTAAAAAATAAAAGACTAAAATGCCCCTAAAAGTTTCAAGGGTATTCTAATCATTTTTCATCACAAAAAATATTTTTCTATTATTTATATCATGTGCGCCCATGTCAGATGTATGCATGCCCCAAATTTGGTTGCAAAAATTATTTATAGAACAAAGATTTAAAAATAAAACGCTATGAGCCATCGGATCAAGATTTGACACTCAAGAGCCAACATGTGACATTGTGACTCAAGACATCTTAGCCATCTACTCAGATCTGATGGCAGAGAATCAGGGGCCACATATATTATATATGGGGTGGGATCACATGGAAAGCTTTCCCCCATATATATATATGGGCAAAAATGAACATTGTTTTCGCCAATAGGCTAGGCGCCATCCGATTAAATTGGACGGCATGAATAAAACAATTGCACCGGCTCTACTATGTCCGGTGCGGTCAATTTTCACGTCAAAAACATGGGAACCCGAAACGGCTTGCAGGTGGAAAACACTATAGCATTTCGCCTATAGGCATTTTGACCATATATGGGAAATGATATCATGTCACCATCACACCATGCCATTATAATTTAATGAAACCACACTTTTAGAAAACCATGTTTGTGGTATACCCAAAATTTTGCTCACACACTCTTTTCATCTCAATAATCAATCTCAAAAAAAAAATTAATTTGCACCCTATATATGGTCAAAATGAGTCCCCTTCAACAATGAATCTAGACCGTCCATTTGGTGAATTTCAAGATCTCGGCCTTTATGAATGTAAAATCAATTTTTTGCTTTTTAATGTTGCTAATCTAATGATAATAAAATTATCTAAAAAATTTAGAAAGAAAAAATATCCTTCTAAGGACGTAACATATTAATTAGGCTAAAACAACACTTTCTAGGTTGTGTTTTCAAATTTTCCTTTTTTGTGATTGTACATTAGAATGAAAAGAGTGTATATTTTAAATTTTGGGTCAAACAAATGGTCCTAACATGGTTTTTGAAGATTGTTTTATTATATTACTATACAACCATTGCATGAAATCACTCCCCTATATATATGTATGTATGTATGTATGGCTTGACCTATTTGCTGCCACTCCATCAAAACATATCATAATACCATGTCCCTCTTCTTCAACTTCTTTATCTAACATGACAAGTATTCAATCTCTCTTCTTACAAATAGTTATGTCTCTTTCATCTTCTCATTATATGTTACTTTGTTGAATATTATTAAGTTGAATATTCTATATCTTGTTTATCTTCTCATTAAATGTTAATTTAATGAAAATTACTTAGTTGAACAATTCGTTCATGGGCAAGTCAAGCATTTAAATTACTATCATTAGAGTTATCTTTTTTATTGAGTTTATATATGATTAGGTATTTATATCTAAGGGTGTTTGTGTCTCTATATTTATTTTTGTCATTATATTTGGCAGCCCTAGGTAAGAAGGGTATATACAAAGGGATGGGTTCAAGAGACCCATTTGCTTCTCTGATGTTCCAGAACTGGGAGAAGGAAAATTAGTTGAAGTGGAAAAATACCACAGATGCCGTTTAACACAAATAAGTCAGCCTCAGGTATGTCATACACATATCGTTATATGAGATATAAGGGGGACATATTGTTACCTGACACAGGCATTATCTATATATTTTCCTTTAGAGTTTCACCTTAGTCTTGCTAACCTGATTTGTTATGATAGACAGATGATATGGACAATCAAAGAATAGGGCCCATTGGGACTGAAAGGAAAATTCACAGACACAGGAATCGCCAAAGTTGAACAAAATCAAGGGGTTGGGGATCCTTGGCCGAATAATCCAAAATCGCATGTATCCCAATTCTATAGTATTTTTCCTTTTTAGTCTTTGTTACATATGGCCCAGTATGAGAATCGGTTGATTCGAACTAGGACAAAAAAAAATTGATTTTTTTAATCATTGCTTTGGGATGGTCTAATCAAATAAGGTGGGCTTAATCTACAGCATAAACACTTCTATCGACTCCTATTTTCTTACCGAAACAGCAAATGATCATTTCTTTCATTTCAAACTAGATATAAAGAGAGGTAGATCAGCATAATTTGTCTTTTGGATGAACTTAAACATTAAAACAGTAACTCTTGACCTCCTTCATGCAAACAAAATGTGCATCCGATGGAGTAAAACTCGAAGTACTAGTTGAAACCCTAAAACTCAAAAATAAAGGTTTAGAGTGATAAACAGGATATTGGGATTGTCGGTCCTCAAGCACGCTAAAAGGAGTAATTGACATAATACCTACATTAAGGGGACGCTTGGTTCATTTTTTTATTTGTGCATGTCATCCTATGGTGTGGTACATGTTAATCTTCTCTATATCAGTCCTTGGATCATTCCTTAAAAAAAAAGAGGTCCGTTGGTTCATTGAAATTTCTCTCTATGAAGGAGATTTCTGAGAATTGGCTTCACATCTCCATGAGTACTGAGCCACTTTTCCATAAAAGCATAGATTTCACACATTATGTATAATCGTGTGTCCTAAAAGACTTTTTAGAAACAGATTTCCCACAAACCACACACAGGGAATTGGCTTGGTCAACCAAAATCTCTTTCCCGGAGAGAGACATTTCTGACAAACCAAACATGGCCAAAACAAAAAGACACTTTATCACATTTGCAGAGACATGGATAAGAGAGAGAAAATTTATATCTAGAATTATATTTTTGCAACTAGAAATTTTATGATTTTTCATTTGTTGGTCAATGCTTTTAATCACGTACAACACATGTAAACTGTGGAGGAATTTGGAAAATATCAGTTTTTAGTTAATTGGGATGATAAATTACATGTTCTTAGTTAACCATGATCAAAAGCCGCCAGGAAAAGAGACTAACCATTTCAATCTACATAACCCTTCCTTAGAACAACTAAACTCTCTAACTATCCTTCAACCTTCCCTGTTATGGGAACTACCAGTTAGGACACCGAATCCCTCCACCAATGCATAAGTCTTATAGTAGTCATATGCATCTTCTTCATAGTCAAATTTCATGCCTATGTGGGATTCTTTTATTTCTGGCCCCTTGGATGATGAACCTTGTTTCCCATCTCACATATTTGTATACATCGTGTCCTTTTTTTCTTTTTCTTGTTTCTTTTTGTTTTTTTTGAGGGAGGGGAGGGAGTGGGAGAGGGGGTTGGGGTTGCGAGAAAGGGAACTTGGTCCGTGGGATTGATGGTGTTCCCCATGTTATCATGATCAGACGGCATGGGAGAAGATACACAGCTTGAAAGGGTAAGGTACATCTCAGGTTTGTGAACTACATATGAATTTATGTGTTTGAACCCGTCATATCATCCACATCTAATAACTAATTAAGGAAAAAAAAATCTTTTGAAGCATGTTTCTTTTGACAAGGTGATCTATTTCAACAAGTTCAACAATCTGTGTAGTGGGTTTATTACAATACAGAAGTTCCTATATCTTTATAACCAATCTCAGCGATTTGATCCTAGAAAAGGTAGTGGACTCTAGAGAGAGATTTGGATCAATTGCAATGATGTAGAGAGAGGTTGATAGATGATTATGAAGTCATTAAGGTAGTTGGAAAGAACCCCTTCTTTTGACATGATCACTGGCATGTGATGGATTATGCAAGGGTTTTTGAATGTTTGGTTTTATTAGTTGACAAGACATTAGATGAAGCTAAATGGGTTGTAACCAATATCAGAGTACTAGTTTCTAACTATTTGTAACCAAATTATAATCATTTATCGTTACTGATTAAATTAGTTATAATTATTTAATATTAATTAATTGTTGATTTACTGATAATTTACTGTTAATGAAATTGATTGTAAAGAAGATGATTTACAATCTCTAATTTCATGTGTAACTGTGTCAATATGATAAACTAAAATATTTTCAATAGTGCTAACTGTAGCTAGTACATAACATCTTATAAACAGAAATTCTAAAGTGAATAGAATGTAAACAAAAATTCTCTGTTTAATTCTCCTCAGGAGTTACATCAAAATTCCATCCGGAAAATTGATATTTTACTACAACTTAACTGGCTTAACAAATAAATACAAGAAAAAAAGAAATACAAAAAAGTGGCTCAGTTCAGAGAAATTTCAAAGACATTATAATCATTTACTGTTAATTAATTATCTCCAGCTCTAAATTATTATAATCATTTACTGTTTCTGATGAAATTATTCATAAATCATTTACTGCTAATTAATTGTTGATTTACTGACAATTTACAGTTAAATTGCTAATAAAATTAACTGTCAAGTAAATGATTTACAGTCTCAAATTTCATGAGTAACCATGATAAACCGTGGTGCTGAAACTATGGCTAAGGCAAAACCACAGAAAGCATTTGGCCATGTAAAATAAGATCTTTGGAGTTAACAATTGATGGTATTAGTGACTATCCTGTTAGTTTTCATAGAACAAAAGGGATCTTATGCGTAGCAAAATTATGAATAGAAGTGCGACAAAATACCAGAAATTCATCAAGAAAATATGCCACAAAAGTAGAAGATAGAGAGAAAGTTAACCTGATTCAGATCCAAGAGCCCTAAAGAGAGAAGGGGAACCACCCTGCAATCAAAATTCAACTAACTAAATCGTGTGATTCTGAAGAGTACATAAAAAGAATACAGTCTATAAAAACAAAATGGAATCAAAATCTGTAAACTCAGCAATTATCAGTGTTATCAGGACAGGACCTGTGACTGAGCCGGCGACGGCACCGATCTAATTGAACAGGCCGAGCCAGACCAGTTCACCTGTCAGGGTATATATTTAAGTAAAATTTGACAAAAATATCTAGAAAATAAGGAAAAGGGAGCAAACAAATAAAATTATAGAAAAATAGAAAAAATCAAGTAAAATAAGAAAAATGTGAGTCTATGATTCACGATGTCTTTTAATAGCGATAAATTTTTAAATCTCTTTCAAGGCGGATTTTCACTATTTTGAAAAATCAGCAGAATAATTTACCTAAACACTTAAAAAGAAAACATCCCCGATATCAGAGAACCCATCCTATTATTTATCCCTAAATCAAAATATCCCAAATAAAATAAAAATATCAAACTTTAAAGTCCATTCAATCATTTAAAAAGAAAATTTCAATAACAGAAAAGTCTCTAGTGAAGGAAATGGCAATGAATTTTCGATAGAGAGACCACAAAAAAATAGCATATAAAAACCCACAAGAAAAGGCTTGTGAAAAACTAAGAAACAGCATTTTCATGTGGAAATAATTATGAAAAATCACTCAGATATAGTGAATATTGGATTGAGATTGAAATGATCACAGATCAAGAGATTCAATATTCTTTAAAATATTTATTGCGATACAAAAAAAAAACAACGAAATTTTCCTATTTCCCAACAGTAAATCAAGAAATAAAAAAAAAGATTGAATATGCTTACTTTGGCTTCAAACGGGCAGATTGATGACCGGATTCTCGAGGAAAATAGCAGGAGAAAAGCCCCTGAGAAGTTTTGGAGGAGAAAGAAAATTTCGCAAATGAGGGCCCTCCCTTCCTCTCTAAAATCCCTTGTCTGAAACCCATTCTCTCTCATTATTAAATTTGACAAAAATGCCCCTGCATGATTTACAAAAGATTAAATAAAATAGGGTAGGGTTTGTAGAGAGCCGAGGCTGCAATCAATCAAAGTAAATCGCACCTTGAGGCAGTGTAGAGAAATGTGGTTTCCGTACTAAAAATCATTGTGATGGTTTTGAATAATGTCGATCAAATATATCTATAAAAACGTGTAAATCTTGAAAATTGATGTGTTATAAGATGCACTATTTTCATAACTTTATATCCATATTTTTCTCGGATGAACAATTTGAGGCCTCTTCTAATAAAAAATTTGAGGTATGCCCTAATTTTGATTCTTGAGAGCTTCGCATTCTATATATTTTTTCCTTTTAAGTAAACGTAAAGACTGAAGAGCATACCATGTAAACATTGGACCAATCGGTTGGGACTAGTTGGTCGATACAGTGGACCGCTCCACCAGTCCTTGGCTAGTTCAATGACCCTCGGGTCCAATATGCTAGACCGGACCAATCTTGCAACCGATTCATAAGTTTTTATTTCAGACTAGCTGATCCAATCCAGTTTTTACAAAATTGGCAATTACACAACTACAATCTTCAATACATCATAAAAATACAAAAATGGAGAACTCAAAATTGATCAATAAAGGGATCATGTTCATTTGTCAAATCAATAACCTACAATGAGTTAATGTCACCTCAACCTGGTTCATATTCTTGATAATTGTACGCTCTCTTTTAATTGTGAACTGAATGTAAGAATCAATAGATAATCAAAACAAGAATATGTAATGACTTTTATTTTTATTTTTAATTTTTAAAGCCATATCAGCCTAAAATGGCTAACCCACGTTTCTGGATTGCCTGTCGCTGATATGGACCAGTTTTCATATGACCACTTCACTCGATCCAGGTTTTGAAACGTTGATCCACACATAACCACTCAAAGAGATCTAGCAATATGAATTACACAAATAGATACCATGAAATTCAATCTATTTCGAGTGTTAATTATCAACAACGATTTTACATTTAGGGAAAAGCGATATTGATTCGAAAGATGAGTACAAAGGTTACAACCTTAAACAATCCAACCAAGGCGCACCTCTACCTTTTATTATAAATGAAATTTTGATATAAAAAATTCTTAAGATGCCTTGAAAATCTATTCCTATCTCTAATTATAAAATTTTAAACTTTAAAAATGGTTCAAATCAAGTAGATCTATAAACACATGAAAATCTTGAAAATGGACGGTCCAAATAATGTGTCGCAAGATACAGTATTTCATGGACTTTAAATCATTATTTTCTTTTCATATTTATACATCTCAATGTTGAGATAATCAATTAGAGGTTTTCCATCATCCAGATAACCTTTTATGATGGATTTTTGAGGTGCATTTTTAGTTCTACATCTTAAGGTTGCAACCTTTTATAAACCTTTTGCATGAAACCATTGCGAGTTAGGGTAAGGTTGATATTATATTTTCTTAAATTGCCCATTTCAAAAAATGCCAAATCGGATGAAGAGTTTGTTTCTCTCTTAACTAACTAAATGTAAACCCAATTCAAATAAGCGACCACCCTTTTGCACCATTCAAATCCTAAGTCAAGATACCGGAAAAAGTTTATACAAGGTCACCACCTTATACTATAAAAATATGGCACACCTCAAAAATTAGTAGAAAATAGTGATCCGAAGGAAAACTTCTCAATTGATCATTTCGATCACCATATATAAAGATATAAAAAATAAATAAAAATTTAAAGTCCTAAAAATAGTGCATTTATAACAACTTATACGGATTGTATGTTTTCAAGTTTTTCAAGTATTTATATATCTAATTGATCTATAATGTTTTAAAAAGTTTAAATTTCATAATTAAGATTGAAATAAACTGTGAATCCATCATAAAGTTTTTGACACCAGCATTACATTTTCCCCAAAATTTAAAGTTGCCCCTTATTTGCAGGGTATAAGGTGGGCACCCTTTCCAAACCTGACACATTTTTTACTGTCCTTTTCAATGATAGTCTCTTTCTTTTTCTCTAAATATCCCTTTTTATTTTCTTTTTAAATTCATCTCATTTTCTCTCTATGATCTTTATCATTTATCTCTTCTTTCTTGATAAAGCCATTAATCTCAAATTAACCAATCTCCATTGACAAATTGATGTCTTACTATGTTAATACCCATCTCCCTCTCCTTATTTTCCAACTGTGAAACTTACACATCTACTTTTAATTTATTCAAAACATATTTCATTATAAAGTGTGTGCACGTGCGTAAATCGGGCTGAGGCATTGATTCTTGCCTAGATTCGGCCACTTGGCTTGTATGCCTAGGGCAGGTTGTATAAGACCGGGTTAAAAGGTTGGGCCGGTTGGCCCTTTACCATGCCTTTGCAATCATATATTTATTTTCCTTTTTAATAGTTCAACGGTAGTAATAAAACTTAGGATGCAGTGTTCCAATCATGAACAACTAACCAGTAAAGCACCCCTCTGCAATAATCTTAGATGAGAAAATTAAAGATATTTTTTTCCCCTTCCACAAAATAATGAACTAACTAGCCAAAATTCTACAAAACTCCTGCAAAATAAGACTCTCTACATTAAAGTCAATCTCAATTGTACCAATACCTCAAATGTAATAACCGTCTATTTTTACCATGGGCTACAAACTCAGTTGTAGATTCAACCCCAGTAGGTAAAGTGGAAGTTGACTTGTAATTTACTAAACTGTGAACGAATATAATCTAATTTGTCATTTTCTATATTTTGTACTGCAAAAACTTTTTAAAAAATATAACTGGAAGGTACTAATGAAGTGTGTAATGACACTGTCTTGTGGTTGTGTTTTAATGACATAACCATATAACTAGTTCCATTTGACAGAAGGAAAGGTCTTAAAATGTTGTTATTTATTAAAATAATAATGCTGCACCATGTATTTTTTCACCTTTTCTCATGTCAAAAAATCCTCAAGAGCAACAATCTAACCATGATTTTGTGACAGTAGATTAGAGAAAGGAAAAAAAAAGTAGAAATCTACAGTGATGGGAAGGGCAAAATTATTGCCCTTTGCATTTTACAGTTATAGAATCTATATCAAATGTTTTTAAATGCACTTTCTCAAATTCATGTGATGTAGATAGATTTTGAATGTTGATGCATATGCTGCTCACCACATATGTTTGAAGCTTTATTTATAAAGATCCACAATTTGATATTAATATCTCTAAATTTTTAACTAGAGAAGTTTATCAAGATACATTGTAAAAGTTTAAATATTTGATATTTTACCCTATGTGTAATTTGATAAATTTCAAAACGGTTTATTTTTATAAATTTATCTTTTAAATGTCATTGGTGCAAAAAAAGAAGAAGCAAATATCATAACCACTAGGCATTTAAAGGCAAAGAGCTCTGTATATATGCTTAAGCAAGTTGATTAATGTGGTGGGCATATAGTTGCTGTAACGTAATGGTTAAGACCTCTATTCGGTAAGCAACAAAAAGACCATTATAGATGGCTCAAAAGTTGTGTCGAAAACAAGGCTATATATATTGAAATTTTGTCGTGAATTAGTAAATACAACACAATACAGTGGCAGAGAGATAAGAAGATAAAGATGATTATTGCAAAAATGGCAATGGATAGAGGTGTAGAGAGTGTATGAGGTAGATACACTTGAGTATTAGAATATTGTGTAAGAAAGACTAATGATAAAAGGGAGGACATTTTGAGTGCATGCACACAGATTAGAAACTTAATAAATAAACATTAATACTAATGCTTATCCACTGCAATTTTAGTAAGCTTTTTTTATGATGATAAAAGCGATTCCCCGGGAACACGCGTGCCCGTGGGCAACGTGGTTGAAATGCAAGAAATTGTTCTAGAATGCTCTTTGTGATTATCGCTAGTGCACGCATTTCAGCGCTATAAAAAGCTAAAATGCACAAGGAAATGGCATTGTTCAGACTCAAATCCTTTGTGCAGCAGTGGTGCTTCACAAGATTTTGAGAGCAGGTAATTCTTGACTCTACAGTTTCTTGATTTTTAATACATTAGAAAAAATATTTTATCAATAAGCAAAAGTTATTTCTTAGATTCAATGTTCAAATTTTCATCCATGTGAGCAATGCTAGTCTGCTGAAATATGTGGTTTCACATACTTATTGTTTCACAAGAGCTTGGCTGAATGATTAAATGACCAGGTCACAAACTCACCTAGTTTTTGTTTCTTTCAAATGGAAATCTCATGAAAATTTATTTATAAAAGTTATTAGTAGTTGCTCAAAATGTCTTACATTATAAGTATCATCAATAGAGATGATGTTATAATAAAACTATATTATTGAACCATAATATATAGCATCCAGGGCTAATTTTCATCATGCACCACAAAGTTTTTCTAAAATATTGTCTTCTGGAGGATTGGTAGGGTAATAACAAAAAAATCAGTTTTTTTTTTTTACGATCTTCACCGTCTTTATGTTGTGTACTATTTTATTTGTGACATGTAGCATTAATGCTTTTTTCTCATATTTAAATTGTTCACTAAAAATAATATATATATATATTTGTAAAAAAATATAAAAAAATATTCACAATAAAATAAAATGATCAAAATACCATTGAAATATTCAAAGGGTATTTTCATAATTAGATTTTATCAAAAAATTATTTTTAACATTTTTTTATAAGTGCGCCCCCCCCCCCCAATGAGAAGATGGAACGTACCAAATTTCATATTCATAGAATTTGTATAAACAAAATTAAAAATAAAATACTCTGAGGCGTTAGATCAAACGATGAATGACTCACTTGATCAAAATTAGACGAATGGTAGGGGAAGCATAGATTTTCTATACTGCAGAGGAAGTATAGAAACCTTTCTCTATAAATATATATTATTTATTTATTACTTAGTATTTATTTTTTTGGGGGAGGTGGACAGTTAGAAAACACAAACTAGGATTTACAGTGCTCACCATGACTAATTTGTTTACTCCCCGTATTTGCTCTCTATATTTATCTATTCCAGTATTTACAGAAAGGGCCCTTAAGTTTTATATTTACCTTGGTTTTTTGTTTCAGGCATAATTGAAGTGCACCTTGAATCGAATGAGCACAATGACTCCTCAAGAGCTAATGCAAGAAATCATGGTATTTTTAAATTGCAGTTCTCCTTTTTTTTAATTACAAAAGAGAATCTCTTAATTTGTAATTAGGGAAGAGGGCTCCTTGAGAAAGCAATATTTAAAAGGGCGAACATGCACGTGCCAAAGTCGATTAATGGTTTAAGAGAGAAAAATCGCGAACGTCAATAGTAATATAGACCCTTCTAGATGAGCTCCTCTCTCTAATACATGTGAAACGGAATATACTGCTAGTTTTTCGAGATCTTATTAAGAAGATGATATGCTCCCGCGGGATTACTATTTACTCTATTGGTAAAAGTTATGTTTGAAACGTTTTTAGGGGATGTAAATCTTGTGGTGCGCAAGTTATAATAAGTGGTATTTTTATCTCACAATGAGTTTTGGTTTAGTTAAAATCGTTTCAAGACATATTAAATAAATAGTTGAATAGAATTTTAAAATAGAAATATAAGTAATTATAAAAATAATTTTGAAAAGGTGGAGTTTTAATGAGTCAATTGGCACAATTGTGCATTTGCTTCCCCTCTAAAGTCCTTCTTAAAATGGATTTTGGATCCAATTTTTCAAATATCAATGGTCTAGGCCATCGTGACCTTAGACATGAAAAAAAAAAAAAATTTTAAAGTTTCAATTTTTTTCCTTTAAAATCTTTTATACCATCAATTTCATATTTTAGTTGGGTGGTCATTTTTTGATGTTAATATTTAAGATGAATGACTCACATAAACCATTGGAATCTCATTTGGTAAAGAAATGATCACTCTTTTAACCATTCTTTTACCAAATGAGATTCTAGCTTTGGATCGGACGTGCCAAATCATTTGGTGGCAAGATAGATCATTCAGATTTACTGATCCCGTTCAGGCTTGATTTTATTAAACTGGTCCAACTCCCTTCTAAATTAGTTAGATCGAATTTAAAAACAAAGAAAAAATAATATTTTTAAATATAAAATATATTATAAAATCACATAAATCCATTTAATTAGTTTAATTAGTTAAAATAACTAGTTTGATTGTTCAAAATTGATCAAACAATAGATTTTGATTATTTTTCACCAAATTAAATTTATTTAGTCCAGACTCACTGGTTTGGTCCAGTCTTAAGAATTATGCTCAAGATTAACCTTATAAAGAAGAAAAAAAAAAAAAAAAAAATCTCCCATCAAACATAGACCATACAATTTCCATATAGCCAAATCTAAACACATATAAACTAAAAATCTATCTTTTATTTCTTTTTTTTCCTTTCGGAAATACTCATTTGGAGAATTTGAAGTGATCCAATGAATCCAGAACTTCATATCAATCAAAATGCCCATCCCTTGCCGAGGGCGTATAAGTATAATATGTTCACTCTTGACCATCCCACAACATTTATTTTATTAAATTAACTTTTTATGCATATTTTCCCCGTGTCTCTCGCATATTGACCAATACGGTGAAGAAGAGTCCGTCGGACGATTCTCATGCGCAAGCGGGAAACTGCACTGCGCTTTCTCTCTCTATCTTTCTCTCTCCCCCTCTCTCTCTCTCTAAATGGTGTATATGATGCCGCGTACACCCGTGTTTTCTTTCGTTTTTCCCTCTAAAACGGAAGGGTTATCAGCTGAAGCTCTCAGCTTCCAGTTCTTCATCCCCCTTTCGTCTTCCAGGCACGTCTTCTAAACCCTAAAACCTTTGTTTTCTGTTTATTTACTTCATTTTCTGCTTTAAATCGATAAACCTCTTGTCTTGCTTGTTTTCTGTATCATCCAATCTCTCGAGCTGTCTTCTGCATTTAGGGTTTTTTTTTTTTTTTTTCTTAACCCATCTCTGTATCATATTCACTTTATCTCATACCCTTTGAATGAAGTAATTAACATAGTATTAGTGCATACAGTTGTTCATTTAGTTGTTGTAGGTGTTTATTCTATTATGTGCAGAAGACCCATCCTTTTTTTCATAATAAAGGTTTTTGAGTTTGAAAAAAAGTTTTTGAGTTTGAAAAAAAGTTATTGAGTTTGATGTTTTGATTGTGTTTTGAGTAGGTTTTAATGGATATCTTCAATCCACCCATGCATGTTATTCATCTTATCATGCCCATTTTTTGTTATTTACTTAATAATCTATTTGATTTTATTTTGCTTCAATTCGAACAGGGCGTCAATGTCTATGTATCTTGGTATTGATCCTCATAGATTTCTCCTTAAACGCCGTTGCCGTTTCATTTGTCGAGGCCGTTGCTTGTTCCGGCATTGGACTTGAAAGCCCTTTTTTCATTACTTTCTCAGAGAGACCACATGAAGGAAATTTGATTTTATTCTTTGATTCTTGGAACAAAAAATTCTGAGTTTTTTTGAGTTTTGATAGAAACACAGGGACTTGTTGATTACTTTTTGCATGGAGAGATTATTGCTGCAACCAGGTTTTCGGTTTCATCCAACTGATGAAGAGTTGGTTGGTTTCTATTTGAAGAGAAAAGTTTTGGGGCGTCGCATGCTATTTGATGTCATTGCTGAGGTTGATTTGTACAAGCATGCACCTTGGGATCTTCCAGGTGCAGTCTTCTTTGAAACTTTCTTATGGATTATGAACTTTTCAATCGTATAAATCATTCTTTGTTTTCTTAGTTTGAGTTTTTTTTTTGATGTTCCACTTGTAGGATATCTCTCCTTTTGTTTTTAGTTTTGTGTGTTGTTTGTAGCGATTTTGATGGATAATTAGTCTACATGGCAAATATGTATACATTTTCTCTTCCAAAAGAATTAGTCTACTTAGCTGAGAGGATATTGTTGCATATTTGTTTGAGCCCCCTCTCCCACAAAGTATGGACGTCGCCCTTCCCTGCTTGGCTTCCCCAAGCATGGACGGGGCGGCTTCCAAAAATAACATGGAATTACACTCATGGAATGTGCTCCTTCCATTTTGTGGCTTCCACATGTGAAATCAAACGGAAGTTTCATTTGGTGGAACTTGGGTTTTCCGCTCCCAAAAAGTTCTACCAATCAAACAAACTCTTGGCAAAACAAATGCTCTTTTTTGATTATTTAACACTTAGAAATGTTGACCTTTGGTGATGCTCTGTGTGAGTTAGAGAGATTTTTTTCCTTTTTCATCTTATTGTTGTTATACATATTCAGTCAGGATCATCTTTAGTTGGCCAATTATTTGCTTTAGTTTTTGACTTGGATATGTTGACCCTGCATTACAGTTATGATGTGGCAGAGATTTTTATATGATGCTTTATTTGAATATCAGATTCCCCCCCTCCCCTTGGGGTTCCATAAGCTAATTTGCTATTGCCAATGCGTGGACATGTACACTTGTACATGTGTGTCTTTTGATATCTGTATTTACAAGGAGGGGTGAGGTCAATTATTCAAGTTATCTGAAAAATGTAACTTACGAGCGTGTGTGTTTGTGTGTGTGTGTGTGTGAGAGAGAGAGAGAGACGAGTGTGTGTGTGTGTGTGAGAGAGAGAGAGAGAGAGAGAGATGTCTGGTAAATGTTTATAATTTTGCCATCTTCTTTGGAGTTCAGATTCAGATGTTGGACACAAATTTAAATATAGGTTGGTAATGACAATCTGTTTAAGACATTCAGTGCTTTATCTGCCTAATTGATAAATTTTCATGATGACTGACTTGCTCTTGTAGAGTTGGTTCCCATGGCCATTAGTTATGATTTCTTATCTCGCATTTTTTTCTCTGGGGCTTGCAGAGAAATCTTTCCTAAAAAGCAGAGATCGTGAATGGTATTTCTACTGTCCACGTGATCGCAAATATTCAAATGGGCCTAGGACGAATCGCGCTACTGAAACTGGGTATTGGAAAACAACTGGAAAGGATAGGCCTGTTTGTCTTGCTTCTCGGAAAGTGGGGATGAAAAAGACCCTTGTTTTCCACATAGGCCGGGCACCAAATGGGGAGCGGACAAATTGGGTTATGCATGAATACCGGCTTGAAGATGCTAATATGGTTGACCCAAGCATCTCTCAGGTAACTTTAGTGTTTTTTAGTTTTAGGAAAAAAAAAAAAACTATGATTGCTTTTCATGAAACACTTTTTGGGAATCTTAGAAAGCTGATAATCATGTGGAACAGTCTCCTGAATTCTCCTGAATTTTCTTATGATAATATCATCTTAGCAAGATTTACTAGATAATTAAATAGTCAAAATATGATGAATAACTCCAATGCATGTAATCAATATTAGACATGGTGCATGTGACTATGACTGCTCTATGTTTAGCCCCCCCCCTTCCCCCCCCCAAAAAAAGAAGAAATATTTCTCCATGTGATGGATGTGAAATTGACTGCGGTCACCAAAAAAAAAAAGATCATGTTTTCACTATTAGGTCTATGGACTGAAATTTTTGTGGAATGATTTAATTCATTTAATCCTCATATTGTTGTTTATTAGCTGTTAAATTATGATAAACATCTTGTTATTGTCCATTGCTAATTTTGATCTCATATTTATAGATGACTGTGTTCTTGTAATAAAGATTTCTTTTATGATTGCAGGATGCATTTGTGCTGTGTAGATTGTTTAAGAAGAGTGGTTCAGGTCCCAAAAATGGAGCGCAATATGGAGCTCCCTTCAAAGAAGAGGAATGGGACAAATATGAAAAAATGCCAGGTTTTGAGGCTTTAATTCTGGCCTTGACCAATCAAGCATCTCTTCTCCCTGGGTTTGAAACGCATGACACTGACACTGATGTCGGGGCCAGAAAAGATAGTGGCTTTTTACTTGGGCCAGATCCACAACCATCTGGGATTTCTGGTTTGGTTGAGAGCCATAATACCCTTATAGAAAACCCACTGAAAGGATCAGATGAGATCGATAATTCTATGCTGGAGTTTGATGGAGCTAATAATAATAGCCCTAACATGGTAAGAAGTGAAATTGGTGTGTATGTGCATGTGTATGCATGCACTTTCTTTCGTGATGTGTTTATAATTGTTTTTAAATTATAAAAATATTCTTCATCATATATATTTTCCTGACTGGATCTTCTTGTAGAATATGGAGTCTCCACCTAAAAGTGCGGCCGAAGATGTTGGAAATGTGGATGGGTATGATATTTACAAGGACTTAGGGGACATCAATAGTCAAAAAGAACTTGAAGGGGTGACTGACTCTTATATGTCAAGTAATGTTGAAGATGAATATGGTTTGCCTCAGATGATTCCTGCAATGGAAGAGGGCTCTTATCTGGAATTGAATGATCTTGTGAAACCCGTAGATTCTGATCAGCCCAGTTTTGAGATGCCTAGTGACATGTTTGATATTTATGATTTTTATGACAATCCAACTGCTTTAGGCCTTTTTGATTCTCCAGTCAACTTGGATGCTGCGGGTTTTTGTCCCAACTCTGAGAACTTGTCACCTCTCATGATGATAGAGAAAAACTCTGTGATTGATGATAAACTGAATATGGTTGTCAAGGTATGATTCTAGAACATTTTGTTCCTTTGCATTGATGAGTATCCTTTGTTCATATTTTGGCATGATCAATAACACTGTCTAGTGAAACTGGGGTTGCATAATCTCTATTTGTGAATGTATATTTCTGCCCCACTAAGATGCACATACACCTATTACAAAGGATCAATAACATAGTGTTTGAATTTTAATATTTTCCTACATATCAAATTTACTTGAAATTTGGTTTTGTGTAAGTCTGACTATCATGCACCAAAACAAAAATAAAATAATTATCAGAAACTAAAATAACCAAGCTACCGCTTAAGCATTCACATGGGTATGTTTGTCATTTGTATTTTTTTTTTTAGATTTTTGGAGGCATGCGTTGCTGAGGTACATATCTCCAAATTTGAGGTTAATATGACATGTAAGAAATATGTTCAAGCACTATTGGACAATTATAGCCGTTTGGAGGATTTTGGGTGGTGAGGAGCCATGAGCAAGGTGCTGTAGAAAGTTGCTCGTGGGTGTTTTTAAGTGTCTTTCTGCGCACACACACATATCAAGTGAAGATCTAAACAATGTTTTGTAAAATGTAAGCTTATTTCTTGTGTATTCGTGTTCTACCTTGAGGGATTCCCATTGGAAAATTTTCTATCTGTTTTTCACTTACAGTTGCTCGCATTTTCCTTTCTTTGGGTTTGTCTAATGTGCTCTGCATAATATTTGTTATGTTAGCTATTTGGCACATAACTTTTATGATATGTGATATTATTTAATGAACTTAGATTTTGTCAGTGTTTTTCAACTATTTTTAATTATTTCCAGCTAAAAACAAGTGGTTTTCAGTAAATTACTGCGAATAAAGTAAAAACAGCTTTTCGGAAAGATAAACTTGTATGTAAAACTGCCTATAAGTGTATGTCATATAATTTTATGAGGGAACTGCCAAGTAAAAGATAATTCATCATCATTATCAGTGGGAATGAGTGCATCCAAAGAAGCCCTTATTTTAGTGAAATATAATGTAATCCTCATGATCACAGTGGATTAGGGTCTTCTTCTTCCCTTTATTGGGTTTAAAAGTGATGGTGAGAGTGGTACCTCCCATGGAAGTCATGTTATACCCTGATGGATCTCCTCTTTTCTTATATATACAATTTAATGCTTGGAAGGTGATGACCCTCATGGTCATGTATTTTGTGGGGATCAGAGTAGAGAGACCATTTTTATATTTGGTAATCATTGGTGGGCTTGTTGCCAAATCATGCAACCTTGGGGTTTAGATGAACCTGATGGACCATACTAGAGGGGAGAAGCCATATGTTGCCGCTGTCAAAGGTGTTCGTTGTTTTTTGTGTGGTAATCAAGTATTGCTTGGTGGTTTCTTTTGTTATCATGAATATCACACCTGATTAGCTCTTTGACTCAATTTGGAACAACCCCAACTTTCATTTTCGTATGATTTAACCTTTGGGAATTGGACATTTTTTATATCCAGGAGGAAATACACATACTGGATTATGTATCAAACGGAAAAAATCTGTTGAATCAATTTGTGCTGGACTAAGGAGTGATCTGATTGGTTTGATTTATTAGATTGTAGTTGACATGACATGTACTTAGTATCAGTAGAGTTTGCTAATGTTTTCGCCCGTAGGTTCTTTCTATGACTAACTGAGTACTTGTTTAAACTTATATAAAAGCCATTCACATTTATGTTTTAATCTAGTCACTCATTTACTTTATGCTTATACTAAAACAGGATATGATTTTCTTTTTTATGATTGTACATTCTTGTACAAGCATATGTGAATGTCATTTGAAATGTTAGTCTAGCATCAACACCCAAGTTTTGCAGACCCTCCATGTTGCCATTGCTTTGTTGTAGCATTTTGGTGACACCATGAAGATTAGCTTTTGGTTCTCAGTCCCCATGGATTACTGGGTCTTTTTGGTGTTCAATATGTGACTATAGATGACTGGCATTAAAAAAAAGAAAAACAAAAAAAAAAAACGAAAAAAAAGAAGAAGAAGAAGAAAGATCATGGATGATTAAATCACATAATTTGTATCGTTTCTAGTACATTACATTGTGGCTGCATATAAGCATTTCTTAACCCAAGTCCATAGTAGATGCATATATTGTTTTAGTTTATATTCTTCATTTTTTAAGCTGTTGACTTGATTCTTGTGACTTGCTATCCTGGCAGACTGGTGGAGTTGGTGACAGTTTTAATTGGGAACTTCAACCTGAAGTGGCACCTAGCACATATTTTTTCAAAAATTCTGATAAAACTGGGGCTGGTTGTAGCATGCAAAACCCGGCAACAGGTAAAGTTGTTGCTTATAGGCCTTGGTGTTCATCAAAAGAAAATATGCAATTGAACTTGTGCTGAGCAAATTCTTCTACCATTAGAAATGGAAAAAGTTGTAGACACCCAGAATAAAGGAAATCATTGAGCCATGCTTTTGTTCTTGGCTTAAGTTGCTCTAAATACTTTTTCTTTTCCTCACTGTTTTCCTCATATTATTTAGCTTTTCCCCCTTTGTAGTGTGAATGTATATACGTGCATCTTCAAGGAGTTCCTACCTATTCTGTACCTCTGGTCTTAAGATGAAGGCAGAGGAGCAGGTTTGATTCTGGTTTTACAGAGTCATATTTGTTGGGTAGCTAATGTCCTCATGGTAATCATTTTCCCCTCCAGATTCCAATCACAGTGAAGAGGAACACTATTCAATAGGACATTATCTTTTGGGTTCTATCCCAGCACGAGCTGCATCAGCAGCTGAGTACCCGTCTGCTGTTAGCAGAGGCAAGTTTGTTGGAGATGCTGAAGCTTCAAGGAAGAGCTCTATTCATGTAAGGACGGGCATGGCTGTTACCCATGTAAAACTAGAGCATGATTTGTTGAATAAATGTGGAAAATCGAACTGCGAATGCTGTAATGTTGTCTCTAAGGCCGACAAGAAATATGTAGAAAGGAAGATGAGAAGGGCTGATCCAAAAAACGGGCTCACATTTGTGTTTATCTTGGGTGCTGCATCAGCTCTGATGTGGGTCTTTGTCTTTGTGATTGGAATCAAGATTGCCGGGTATGGATGGAATCATCTGATGCCTTAGAACTTGCAGTCGTTTTAAAGAGACAAGAATGTCATATCGAAAAGCTGGAATAAAGGGCGAAAAAAGAACGATAGGAAAAATGAGAGTATGTTTTTTGTAGTGTTTTATATTGAAACATTAGTATCTAATGTCATGTATTTATTTGCAGTGTGATAAACATCTGAGAACAATAATTTTGTGATGGATTATTTGAGCGATCAGTTGCTACTGGGTTGTTTACTTTTATATGCTCCTATTTCCCCGGCCTTAATGCTTAACATGATTTAGTTAGTGTGGCTTCTTGATGATTTGATAAATGAGATATTTTGCATGTTGATCTATGCACTTGGTTTTTATTATAATGTTTCTTTATTTTGAATTTTGAACTTTGTTGTGAATGCTTAGTTTTGATTATCTAGAATTTTGGAATAGTACCTTGGATAGCCTGTAATCAATAAACCAGGGATCTAACCTGCCAGGTCCACTTTTTGGACCCCTAGATCGGGTCTACCCCTCTGATCCCAGGTCAGGTCTGGGTCCATTGCCACCCCTAGTCACTCACCTGGGATTGTGACCCTAGTCTTTTTAATCAATGGAAGACGATGGTTACTGTCTCCCTATTCCAAATTTACTCTGGGTAGTTATTTTGATGCCTCTCTATTCAAACTTTTAACCTATAATTTTCTTCTGATATTTCATGATAAGTGTTCTGTCACATTTCATGATTTGGTTTCTTGCCCTACCAATGGAAAAAGTTGATATAGAGCTGAGGCTCTAAACAATCAAATTAGAGCCTACCTAAAAAAATTCACTAGAAGAGGTTATTTTGATGTCCAAATATCCTCAAAATTGATCAACTTGACATCTAGATGGTTGGAGATGAGAAAAAAATGGATTTCAAGTTTAGGAAATAGTGCATCATGAGACACATTTTTGGTCGGTTAATTTTCAAGTTTTCACGGATTTGTTCGATCTACATTATTTTTGAAGTTTTAAATTTTATAATTAAAGATGAAAATATATTTTAAGATTATCACAAAGATTTCCAGTATTGAAATCATATTTCTTGACACTCTTTGAAGGTGCATTTTATTTTGATTGTTTGGAGCCGCGGGGCTTTATACAATCCCCACTTTAATTTTTTGTTAAAGTTGCTGATCTTGTATTTGAAATCTTTTCTATTAAGAACCATGAAGATATATGTTTTATGGAAGCAACATGTATCCATGTTCAATTTTGCAAAACCTAGGAGTAATTTTAGGATATCAAATTTTGGAGATATGGCTTCCTCAATCCAGGGGCCTTCTAAAAATAATTCAATGCAACCTGGAACTGTATGAGAAAAATATGCAAAATGGATTGCACAAAGATGGTCAAATCTAGGTGCCTGGTACTCAAATTCCCCATGTTCTTAAGTAGATCCCAAATCCCAAAGAGTAAATGTAAATTAGGCATTTAGTTATGGTTTATGTATCCAATAGAAAAGATTAGGATTGAGAAAAGTTTATATAAGGTGTGAACCTTGTACCAGAGAAGAAAGATGCACCTCAAGGATCTATTAAAAAAAAAAAAAAAAGGTTAATTTTATGCATAAGAATATTCCAATTGATGGTTAGGACTTCGCTATGTATGATAATAGAAAAATGAAAAGTTCTCGAATTTTATGACACATCTAAGCTATCAAATTTCACATCGGATGATTGTATGTAAATGTGACTTTGTATTATGGTATACAATCCCGTAGAAGAAAAGGGATTTAAAGTTATGAAATAGTGTCTTGTAAAAACATTATCTTGACCATCCATTTCTAAGATTTTTAAGTGTTTGTAAACCTATTTTGATTTGTGCCATTTTTTAAACTTCAAATTTTATAATTAGCTTTTTTTTTTTTAGGCATAAGGGGTTTCGCAGCTTTTTTTTTAGGCTTTCCCAAGGGGTTTTGGTAACAAAACTGCATAGTTTGGCACGATTTGGAGGCGCGTCTCACCTTAATTGTTTATGACCGGCGGCTTACACAAACCACTCATATAGGATTGATTTGATCAATTTACATTTATGCACACGTGTGCTTCAAATGATTTACATTTGCAGCTACATATATTTATTCACAGCAATCCAAAACCCATATAATTTCAACTCCTTCAATTTCAACTGCTTCAATTCTAGGGTTTCTATATATGAAATTTGATATTTTGGGTATCTTAATTTCATAATTCTGGCATTTAGTTTCAATAGAAATGAAGGGATATATTGAAACAATGCAGAAACAAGGTCGGCATACAGAAAAGAAACCCGAGTGACCCCTCCCTGTTTTATCAATCCCAAGAGGTAATTGATCGAGTGATTATATAATCTTCTATGCAAATTAATTGGATATGCAAAAGGATGAGTTGACTTCTATCTTTAATGTTTGATGCATACGACAATAAATTACAACCACACATTTTAAAATTTAAAAGACAAAAATGTTTGTGACCTCTATATACAAAAGATAAATGATCTCTTTGTAGACAATCTCTTAACATTTTACTTTGAAATTTTTTTATAGAGAAACTTGCCTTTTTTTTTTTTTGAGCGTTGAATTTCTTACATAGTTGAAATCCAATTCTTGATCCATCTTAATGATATGTATATATTGGTGGTTGATTAGAGCAGAATGACATATCAAGATTCATATAACCGACCCCAAATAGTGAAAAAAGCTATGATTATGATTGATTAGCACACTTCAATGGGAGCATCTACTCTAGCTTCGCTCACGCAAGAAATATTGGGATTTAGTTCAGCGCATCAGAGAATTCTTTTAAAAAAGGGAAATTGGCTTTCGAATTCCTAAACACTTGGATTAAAATTGGACGTTCTATGCTTACTCTTAAGATGTCATTTTTTTCAAGCACGTAGAACATGCTTGCATGTATTTTTTTTTCCTTCTAGGTTTGATTGAAGAGGTCATACCCCAAAAAGTTTGGAATCCCATAATACTATAGGGTGTGCATGTGTCATGGAATATCTTTATCTTTAATTTTCTATTTATATAATAAATTAACATGATGTAGGGATTTATCTAAATATTATATATAGATAAATAAATAAAGGAAAATATAAACTTCACCACCTTTAAGATTCCAAAGGCTAAAGATAAGGAGAGTTGTGAATGGTCGATTTAATAATTTTATTTTATTTTTAAATTGTGAAAAGGGAATTTTGTAAATATTACTACAAAACATGGGGTATTTTTGTCATCTCCATAAAAGATAGAGTTGAAATTTTTACTAAAAGATAATTACACTTTACAAATAAAATTCTAGGATATTAACTTTCAAAATGTCAATGTACTTTTGTAAAAATTTCAATTTTACCATTGCTTAATGGTTAAATTACCTATTAAAATAAAATTTCAAACAAAATATAATGATCTTTTTGATAAATACACCCATTACAACCCCTTCTAACTTTAACTTTTGTATTTTGAGGGGTTATTAACTCTAGACAAACCCATAAATTTTCTATATATATATAAAATATTAGAATGGGTTACAAGGACTGTTTTTACTAAAAAGTTATTTTTATAAGTAGCTTAATCATCATGGTTTTGTACTTCTTACAAAATCTCAATAGCTTTTCAAAAGTAAGTGCCTTGGAGTTTTATTTGTATAAATTTTTTTTTGTTTATTAAAACTTTAATTAGTAAAAATTTCTTTGTAATGATGATAAAAGTATCTATTGCCTTTTAATAAGAAACATAAATGTACTTTAACTGAGCAATCAAGCTGCATATAGAAAGAAAAAATAACAATAATCTATTTTGTAAATATATGCCCTTTACAACTCATTATATTTTGAAAAGTCATAAATGTTATAAATCTACCTCATTATGTTTTACGGTAATAAGCAGGCCTAGGTTCTATAATAAAAGGTACAACTGCACCTGAAAAGCCTGCCGTAAAATACATATTTGGCTCGAGCTGAAAAATTATTTTGGCCTGTACAGGACCACTCTATCCAATGCACCTGACTTGTGAGACAAAAAGACTCCTAGAAGAGAGAGCGATTGATTTTGATTATTCTTTTCATTGAATTGTGAGAGAGAGAGAGAGAGAGAGATTGATTTATTTTGATTTTCCGTTTCATTGAATTGAACCTGGAGTGATAGATAGTGACTACACTAGTAGAAAACAAACAGCATGCAGAAAGAGAAAATAAAGCAAGAAAGAAAAGCGAGAAAATCAAGCAGAGACCTTGGTCGCATCATGGTTCTGCTGCCCATCAACTGACTTCGCATACCCCATCTCCAATGCTTCGCCCTCCTTCCCCTTCCCCTCCCCCTCCCCCTCCATAGGTCCCCTCTTTCTATATATGGCGTACAGTATCAGCTGTATGGTCCCTAGGGCGCACCCGAACCCATTTGGAGTCTGCGCAAAATTCCCATTAAATCATAAAAATAAATGCAATAAATTACCAATTAATATTAATTATCATGTAATAGGGAGGGCAATAGGGCCTAAAAACTAAGCACTAAGCAGCAAAAATTAGCATGCTGGCCAGGCTAGGGCCCCCAAACAGGCCTGGCCCTTATGTTTTCCAATTTTTTTTTTCTTTTTCCATCTATATTTCATTGTTGACGTGGATGGAGGATATGGACCCATTCTAAAGTGTATTAAAAAGCAAAAATGGTTTGATAGGGCTTCAGCGCTATCAAAACAAGTAAAGCCTCATTGAAAATTGCAATTCAACCAATAGAAAACCTTTACATCTATCATTTTAGCTTGAACCTTGTAGATGTGAAAACAAAATGAAATTTCAAACTCTAAAAATAATGTATATTGTAACAAATTATTTAGATTGTTCAGGGGGGCCTAAAATTAATTGCTCATAGATGTATAAGATCCGTATTATTTTTTGAATTTCAAATTTTATTTTCAGTGTTGGAATTTGATTTTACAGCCATCATGAATATTTCCATTGCCAAAACCAATGATAGAACTCAAACTAGTTATAGCTACTGGCTATTCTAAAAAGCGGGTGACCACCACAAGATCGAACTGCACTCATGCCTCTCCGGCATCAAGTTGACCGCCACCCCCCCCTACTTAGTTCTCTAAATCATGTACGTAGGTAGGACCCTCCATTCTTATTGAAAGTGCTGTTCAAATGAGGATATGAGATAATGATTTATTTTGTTTTCATAAAGCTTAGGCCTTATTAAAACCTCATCCTTTGGGTAAGGAGCTAACATACGGCCGAGATTGGTCCATGTCGCTGGTGGCAGGTTGAGTATCTCAGGCGAGAGAAGGAGACAAACCTCACATGGACGGTTAAGATACGGTTTTGTATTATGTGGCGGGGGGATCTACCCGTACGTACTTCATAAGGAAACAAAAAAAAAAAACAAAAATGAAAGAGGCGTGTACCATGCTCCCGTAGGAGCATGTATCGGACAGCTACTCCCTCCGTAAGAAGACGTCCTTGGGACGAATTATTATTTTTTTCAATCCGAAAATTTTAGAACCCCTAAGAATTATTAGATTATTATTCTCAAACAAAAAAATTGGATTTTTTTTTGTTATTTTTTTTTTATTTTTAAGATTTCCTTACACTAAGCTCTCACCCTCTAAAAATTCTAGGGTACCTATTTAAGCTTGAAAAATTACTTGGTGCAATTAGGAACTTTTTTTCCTTGAGCGTTGAAGAAGTTGAAGCAATATAAGTGTTGAAGAGGATGCATCCCCAAAATTTGGGGGGTCGTAAAATTATGCCTAGGTTTTACTTGAGGGAGTTAATGGATAGTATTACTCTCGCGGCAAAATATAATATCTTTTGAGGTGAGATTCCAATTTTTTTTTCTTTTATAAATTTCATATCAAATATAATTTATAAGAAATAATTAAAGATAAAAATACTTTTAAACTCGGTAAAGAAGTTTATGCGTCGTGGTCGCATGGCTACATTTGTGGCCCCTGAGGTATCCCACATCCATCTCAAAGTCTCAAAGATAGACGTGGAGGTGCGGTCTCTCCAAAAAAAAAATGTAAAATCAATGTTTGAAAATTTTTCAAAAAATTATCATTTTTACTTGTTTTAATCGATTTATTTTTACATATTCATATTCTCCATGTTAGAGATTATTTATACCAAAAAAATTAGGTCTAAAATATATCTCAAAAATAATAATGAAGAAAGGCTATATATGTACATATGAGTCCTAGGACTAGTAAAAATTGTGCCCTTTAAATTTGAAGTATACTAAGAGACAATTTACTTTTAATATAAGGTTACCATCCCTCTTGTCCATCAGATTTTAAATCGGGTGGCTACAAGTACGCTACTGAGTAGACTCAAAGTTAAAAAAAAAGCCAAACAGTTTCTAAAACCTTCATGACAAACCCTAAGGTATCAAATTTGAGATGTAAGGGCAAGATTGTGATCTCTTTAGAACAATGATAAAGGAGACGTAAAGGAGTGATTGTGACATCTTTATAACAATGATAAAGGAAATATATACAATGAGACCATTTACTTTTGTTACAAGAAGTTCATAATAATCATTGATCATTAGATTTGAAATCAAGTGGTTGTAGATGTGTCATCGTTTAGGCAAAAAATCAAAAATAAAATTTCGAAAATGGTATGACACTTTTATCTATTAGATTTCACATCCACTCACCAAAAGTGTTTGTGACCTCTATGTACCAAAAATAAATACTCTCATAGTATATGATCCGAATGATAAATAATCTCATAGTATACAATCTCTTTTAATATTATGAAGCAATTCTAACCGTCAATTCCATTTGAATAATAAAAGAAGGGAACTACATAATTTTGTTGGCCCTTGGTAAATTTTTAAGGTGCGGTTTGTATAAAGCCTAGGCTCTAAACAATCAAAGAAACGTGCACCTTCAAATAGTATCGAGAAATGCGGTTTCAATATTGAAAATCTTTGATAGCCTTAAAATATATTTTCATCTCTAATTATAAAATTTAAAGCTTATAAATAGTGTAGATCGAGTAGATCTATGAAAACTTGACAATCTTAAAATATATTTTCATATCTAATTATAAAATTTAATATTTCAACAATAGTGTAGATCGAGAAGATCTATGAAAAGTGAAAATTGATTGTCCAAAAATACAATTACAAGATGCATTATTTCTAAAACTTAAAATCCATTTTTTCCATGGATCTTGAGTTCGAGATGATCAATTTGAAGAGATTTGAGCATAAAAAAACAACCAATCTCAGTGAAATTTTCGTGGTGAGCTCTGATTTGATTGTTTAGAGCCTCGCACTTATATAAACTTTCTCCAAATTTTTAGGGAAAGAGAATGATGCTTACATAGATAAAGGGGTCACGCCCGATGAGGCCGTATATGAACCACGAAGTACCGCACAAGAAGACGAATAGAGAGAGAAAGAAAGGCATGAACTCCACGCTCTTCGTGCGTATCACCATCCTCTGTATCAAGAACAACCACCCCACACAAAACATCAACTCAAAATAAATCTCTCTCAAGAAAATCTCTCTCTCTAGAACATCTCTCTCTCTCTCTCTAAAACAGTTTTCTTATCGAAACTTACTAACATTTGCATTAATTCAGGTGCAACTAACTAGTAACACACTGAAGCTAGAGAGAGAATTCAGCAACACTAAATCAACCAGAAGGAGCATAAGCATGACCACTCACCATGACAGAGAGGGGAGAGGCGTACATGCATATCGAGAATATGGTGGCCGCAAGGCCACAAAAGAGCTTCCGGCTCTGGCCATGGAGCGCGAAGAGAGAGATGAGCACGACGAGGGCGAAAACAGAGAGGGCAATGCACAGGAGGCCAAAAATTTTGACCCTGACCTTCTTCTGATTTGCATAGATGAGGAAGATTGTGACAAAGACAAACTCTATAGTAGCTCCAGCCCCATTAATGGTGCTCACCAAGATGTTGTGAGGTGACACAAAGGGGAGGCCGTACCATGCAGCTAAGAGACAGTTGAGTAGGGTGGAGACGTAAGGGACGCCTGAGAAGTCCTCTGTTGATTTGCTCCCAATGATTCTTCGAAATGTTATCCTGAAAATTTTTACACATTCTAGAGAGTCAGGGACAATGGTGGGCTTTCTCTACTATGTTTTCTTTTGGGGGGAATTTATCAAATTACTCTTGATATTTAAACTATTTAATATTGGAAATATGTAGACCATTTAACAATCATCATTAACCCACTAAATTTGAACGCGTGTGGTGATTGAGGATGTGCCATTTGTTTTGGCACAAAATCTAAAATAAAGTTTCTCAAATGTGTTAATGCATTTTTTTTGGATTTCACATTTGTTAGAAATGATCGTGACCTCTTCGTATAAAAAATAAATAGTTTCATAGTACACAATCCCTTTAATTCAAACATTTGAGAAATCCACCTTTTTTTTATCTTATTTCAAACATGGGGTCATTATTTTTTATAAAACTTCAGGAAATTTATCAAAATCACCCAAGATATATGCTATCAAATGTTTTATACATTAACAACTATTTCAACTCATGATCACATATCTTTTGATGAGTGTTTTGATATTAAATCAAACTATACGAGTGAAATAGTAAAGGAAAATGTTTATGTGTAAGGGTAAGGCCTTAAACAATCAAAGTAAGTTGTACTTGAAAAATTAATTAGAAGAAATTTCAATACTGAATTCATTAAAAGAAGTTTTAATACTGAAAAACTCTTAAATTCGATCATGTCGACCTGAAGAAGTAAGAACAAGAGAAAAAGTAGATTTCAAGTTTTAGAAATAGTACATCTTATATATAATGTATTATCTAGACCGTCAATTTCAATATTTTCAAGTGTTCATAGATATGCTCAATTTACATTATTTCTGAATCTTTGAATTTTATAATTAGAGGAAAATAAATTTTGAGGCCATCATAAATATTTATGATAGATTTTGGCCCTATTTGATGGTACACCTGATTGTTTAGGGCCGGCCTTATATACACAAAACCCTAATAATAGTCCTAACATAAAAACCCAAGTTACTATATGTTTTTATTTGTTTTGCATTTTATAATTCTGGTTGGCAATAGAGAAGGGAGCTCTTTCATTTATTTTTGCTGGAGTTTTTGTATACCCAAAATATTTCATGCTCCCATAGGAGTAGACTCCCTATCTACCCTGCTCAGCCAAAACTCATGCTACGATTATGTTTTAGATATCAAATTTTGGGATGTAATCTCTATGACCCAGCCACCAATCTTAAAGGTAAAATTTTTAACTTACACTCTATGTGCCTGAAAAAAAAAAGAAGATTTCCTAAGACTAAACAAAAACCGTCCAAATTTTGGAGGAAAATATACAGAATGTTTAATAACTCAAAATCCAATCTTTTTTCCTTGAAATAGTCATCCATTGATACTTATATCTATCCTATCTGTTGAATTAAAAAAAATCCTCCTAAGTAATTATTTTTCCTGAGGTTGTCGTTGTACATGCTATGTAAGCCCCTATGTATAAAGGACTATCTATTTAAAACATAACAACTATTATAATTTTTCAGCACAGAATTAAGTAGAAAAGAGGCAAACAAACTAGGCAAATTTATCCGAATACCCGTAAGAGATGAACTACTCAACAATTTTCCATTTTCGCACTATTCCAACTCAAAAACACATGTTATTTTTTTAGGGTATTTTAAAATTAATCCAAAAAATATGGATCAAGAGTGTTAAATTGTTAATCTCTGACTAGTTATCCGACAAATTTCCCAACAAACTATCCATATGGCCATTATACTAAAAAAGAAAGTTGCAATACACCAACAAAACCAACGAATCCTGTAGAAATCTCATAAAACTCTAGGGAGTACTTCAAAAACTAGGGTGGGTTGTTTTGGTAAGGGAACATTAATATTTCCTCAAGGAAATGGTTTCTTTGAGTCCATGTGGAAATGAGTCACCTCTTAAATATTTATTTTTGTGATGGATTTTTGAATTTAATTTTTAAAAACATGTAATCTCTAACATGGAAATCATGAATATGAATAAATAAATAAATTTTAAAAATTAAAAATATTAATTCAATTAAAAAAACATTTAGACTGTTAGTTTTAATTCCATTTAGAAAGACTACTTATTTGCCTCATCTGCCTCATCCTTTAGATGGATGCTTTATACTTGGAGATGCTGCATGAGACAATTTTTATTTCCTTAATTCTACATCTTTTATTTTGAAAATTTAGGGACCGATAATTGTGACCTGTGAGGAATCACTTTGATAATTTCAAGAAAAGTTAGGGTCATTTCACAATTTAATGTTGGTATTTCGGTCATTTGAATTGAGATAACAGGTCCCCTGTGAATCTTGCGTAACCAACTGCGTTCCTCACGAATTCTTAACAAGCAAAAAAAGAAAAATAAAAAGATAAAGCCAAAAGTTGTTAAGCTTCGGCAGGTGTATACTGCCTATTAACTCCCTTATAGATCTATTTAGGACTTTTATATATAACTTCTTTAACCAAGGGATTAACTTCCATGGAAAACTACCCAAATTTTTTTATGCACTTGAAAAAATAATGTGTAAAGTAGTGTTAGAAAAATCAAACAGGCCGCCAAGGACCGGGTCTCGGTAACTGGTAAATTTGTCAGTTCAACCGGCTTAATCGGGTAGGTCCGGGCCGGTTTAAAAAGTGTTTTTAAAAAAAAAAAAATCTAGTATTTAAATCATGATTAAACAACACGCATCCAAATGAAGTTGAAAAGTAGTAAAAAAACATAGGTTTTAAAAATTTAATTTGTAGCCCAGAGATATTTTTAAAATTTTTCAAAAACGAGATAAAATTTAAAAATAAGTATTCATAACCAAAACACTTTTCAATCTTTGCCAAAATAATAAACAAGATTTAAAAGCATATTACAAACAAATCCCTTATTTGTCCCATCTTTAAAGGTGAGATCTAACGACTACAAAACTCAAAATTTGAATTTTATTAAAACTCAAAATTCATATTAGGTTGAAAAAAATCTCCCAGGTAGCTCCTTTGACAGAAGTAGATATACATATTATACATGCTCAAAAAAATAAAATCACTATTTTATTGGGTTTAAATCATTAAACAAATAAAAAAACTAAACTCTTCATTATTTTATTTTCTTTTCAGAAACGTGAGAAAAAAAGAATTTCAATAAATGAAGAAAATAAGAAAGAAATCTTATTTCGTATTTCTTGACTTTATCGAAAGTTTTCATATTTGTAGCGGCAACAATGGGATTCGAACTCCGAGTGGTGGCTTTACGAGTCCAGAGTCCACGTGGAGATTGCTCAAATAAGTTGAGGCGATCCGAAATTTCGGCACGTTTGCGGTGGAATGCTTCGTGGTTGGGTGAATGGGGCACTGGACGGAATACTGACGTTACGGTGAGAGAGAGAGCAAAAGAAATGACGGCAGCCGCACTCATGATAGAGAGAGATAGCAGCACCAGCAGCAATGCTGCAGTACTGACATTTGCTAGAGAGATTTCAAGGGAACCCTCCTACAGTTTCAGAGAGAGAGAGCGAAAGAAATGAGGGCAGCCGCACTCATGTCAGAGAGAGAGAGCAGCAGCAACACTGACTTTTGCTAGAGAGATTAATCAAGGGAACCCTCGTACAGTTTCAGAGAGAGAGAGAGAGCAGCAATATTGACAAGTTGCTAGAGAAATTAATTAGCGAACAGTACTACAGTTTCAGAAAGAAGAAGATGAGGTAAATACTGTAGAGAGAGAGAGAGAGAGAGAGAGAGAGAGAGAG